CCCCCCCCCCCCTCAATATATTCTGCACATAATTTCTTCTCTCAATGATTCTGAAAGTAGAATAACGTGTGAAGTGGTAAATAGATGTTTTTAAAATGTAGGTGATTCTAGATAGAAGCATATACACAATTAAACCACTGGATTCATGTGAGTGTGGAACAGGTTTATAATTCTACACTATTATTAAAATGTTAAGAAGTTATGAATATCAACATGTAATATACATTTTCATTTCAACCCATGCAGCAAATCCCAAACATTTCCACCTTTAAATGTAATCATCACTTCATGTTACTTACAATTATGGTTTTACAGTACTTGTGTGTTTGAAAACCAAGATTCAAATATTTTTTTATTTGCAGTGTTGGTGTATATAAAAATGGACGTGTGGAAATTATTGCAAATGATCAAGGAAATCGAATTACTCCTTCGTATGTGGCTTTCACACCTGATGGTGAAAGGTTGATTGGAGATGCTGCCAAAAACCAACTTACAGCAAATCCAGAAAACACAGTATTTGATGCTAAACGTCTTATAGGGAGAGACTGGTCGGATGCCACAGTTCAGCATGACATTAAATTTTTCCCTTTCAAGGTATTTTAAGGATAATTGCAGAATTTTAAATTATTGTGGCATTGAATAACAGCTGTCAGTTTTAACATGATTCTTGTCTATTTTTTATAGTGAATGAAAAGCCAAGAATTATGTAGTGCGAAAACATTAAATTTGTTTTACTAGTAAAATGTACAGGTACTTCAAAGACACTGTTGCTATTTGTATCATCATTACCATTTTTCAGGTGAAAGAAAAGAATAGTAAGCCTCACATTGAAGTTTCCACATCTCAAGGAGAAAAACTGTTTGCCCCAGAGGAAATATCTGCCATGGTTCTGGGTAAAATGAAGGAGACAGCAGAAGCCTATTTGGGAAAGAAGGTAATACTGGAATAGATGTTGGAAGATATATTTTACCTAATTCTTCAAGCTGCACTATGGCCATGGGGTCAACTCAGCCTCTAATAGAAATGAGTACCAGGAATCTTCCTGTGGGTAAAGGGTGGACGGCGCATGAAGCTGACAGCCTTATCGCCATCTATGAGCCGGTTGTCTAGAAAATGTGTGGGAACCTCAACATCTCTCAACCCTATGGGCCTTCACTGCCTGATAGAGGGATACCTTCTCCCCCCCCCATGGATTAAGAGGTTGCATCATACTGTATGTCCCTTGACATTCCATCCGATAATATTCTCGTTACATATGTTAGTATAATTGGGGCATTATAGATTTGAATTCTTGTATTGTGAGGTTGAGGGTTTGGAAATTGAACATTCTGATTGTGATTAGTATGTTCTGAAGTTGAGCGATTTGTGTGTTCTCAGGTCACTCATGCTGTGGTAACTGTACCTGCTTATTTTAATGATGCTCAGCGACAAGCAACAAAGGATGCTGGTACAATCTCTGGACTTGTAGTAATGAGAATTATTAATGAACCGACTGCTGCAGCCATTGCTTATGGTTTGGACAAGAGGGAAGGCGAAAAGAATGTTCTGGTGTTTGATTTGGGTGGTGGCACATTTGACGTCTCTCTTCTTACCATAGATAATGGTGTATTTGAGGTTAGTTACCTGCATTAATATTTCAGATAGCAGGATAACTGTTGCATCAATTTATTTCTACTTAAAAAAAATATATTACATATGCTTAATTAATGCATTCAGTAGTGTAGTTGAAATACTATGCTACAAGCCAGAAAGTTGCAGGTTCAAGTCCCGATGAGGTCATTGGATTTTTCAATTGAACTAATCCTTCCAGCCGCACTATGGCCCTGGGGTCAACTCAGCCTCTAACAGAAATGATTACTAGGAATATTCTTGTAATATTCTTAGGGGTAAAGGGTGGCTGGCACGTAAGGCTGACAACCTTGTTGCCATCTATGAGCCAATAGTCTAGAAAATGTGGGAACCTCAGCATCTCTCAACCCTATGGGCCTCCACAGCCTGTTAATGGGATACCTTTACTTTACTTTAATGCTGCATTAATATGTTGGAGCATTGTTGGAGAAATGTATGAATAGTGCTGATATAAATGCTCTGAGGTTTACTTGGGATGAAACATTTTGTTATAGTAAAGTAAATCCTGGACTGTATAGTGTTGAATGATGGCTGCATTAGACAGCAAATTGGACATGGTACACATACTTCATAGTATTGTATTATTCCAGGTGGTGTCTACAAATGGTGATACACATCTCGGTGGTGAAGACTTTGATCAGCGTGTGATGGATCATTTCATAAAGTTGTACAAGAAAAAGAAGGGCAAAGATATTCGTAAGGACAACCGTGCTGTTCAGAAATTGCGTCGTGAAGTAGAGAAGGCAAAGCGAGCATTGTCTGCGAGTCATCAAGTTCGCATTGAAATCGAGAGCTTCTTTGAGGGAGATGACTTTTCAGAAACTCTGACCAGGGCCAAATTTGAGGAATTGAATATGGTGAGTAGATGACCTTAAAACCATGAGTGGACACCTAGTCATGAAAAATGTGGTATTTGTAGAACAACTGTGCAGCATTAAAACCTGATAATACGATCCAGATTAACTGAAAACTACTTAACCCCTTGTTTCGTGTTTTAACTGTCACAAATTGAATTACAAATTTGAATTGCCAGTGTGATGTGGTCAAGTCAGACTTCAGGGCTACTTCACTAACCCATGAGTTTGGCTGTAGTATCTTACAAGTTCTACCCTCTTTTTTCACAGTGAACACAGAAATATGATATAGGCAGTTTCTTAATGTTTTAACTTAAGAACTTGCTTATTTTAGCATTTTGGGGGTTCTGTGATTTTGCTTGATGTCAGTACCACCACTGGACTGCATATTTCACTATACTATCTGACTTAAATATCTTGCTTTTGAAGTGCTCTTTCAGCACCACAAAGGGATGGAGTATAAGATTATAACCATTAGATAAATGAAAATGTAATGAGTAAATATAATATAATATAATAAAGGGTGTTTCTTTATAAGTACACCATGCACATTATGTCTGCATCTGATCGTTATACTTCAGGGGTTAATGATATGATACAAGAGTATCCATTCCAGTTTTAACATAGAAGTCAAATCACAACAGTTCAGGATTGTGAAGAGGCTGAAGAACATTTCCACCCCAACCTAGTTTAGTGCATTACACAGAATAGTTGAATGTGAATGAATTATGCCATTAATTGATTGAAATTGAGGAGTGCCTCTACTGATATCTGGAAGGAAGATTTCACGATACTCGGTGAATTCAAAAGTGATTAAAAAAGAGTTCGTATATTTATAATACTCTTTTCCATGCCATGAAGAAAAATAGTTTCTTATTTATTTCTAATTAGAATGTTATGATTCAAGTTTACAGATGCTTTATAGACATTTTGTCATGTACATTGTTCCATTGCAGGACTTGTTCCGTTCAACAATGAAGCCAGTCCAGAAAGTGTTGGATGACGCCGACATGAATAAGAAGGATGTAGATGAAATTGTGCTTGTTGGTGGCAGCACACGTATCCCTAAGGTGCAGCAGCTTGTCAAGGAATTCTTTGGTGGAAAGGAACCATCAAGAGGTATAAACCCTGATGAAGCCGTTGCTTATGGAGCAGCTGTCCAGGCTGGTGTTCTCTCTGGAGAGCAGGATACAGATGCCATTGTCTTGCTGGATGTTAATCCTTTGACAATGGGTATTGAAACTGTGGGTGGTGTGATGACAAAGCTCATTCCTCGAAATACCGTTATTCCAACAAAGAAATCTCAGATCTTTTCAACAGCTTCCGATAACCAACATACTGTTACAATTCAGGTAGGAATCTGTTCTTTTTCTCTGTTGTTTTTAGAGGATAATTTCTGATTCAGGTCACTATGATAATTGCCATTTTTATCATTAGACTTGTCAGATGAAGTATGGTAGATTGGGCACTTAGTACCCTTTGCACTTGGAGGAGATGAGAATTGTGTATGTAATTTTAGTTGGACTGCCTAGAGAGAGGTCACTTTGAAGGCTAGATGTAGGTGAGATGGTATAAAATGTATCCTAGAGAAATGGGTTCAAGTTATGTAGTTCACTTCAGTGTAGGGTACACTGACAAGTTACTTTGAACATGATAATGAACCTTCAAGATCCATCATAGGTGAGGAATTTCTTTACCAGCTGAGTGACTTAGCCATTCAGGGACTTCTCCATGGAAAGAGTTTTTTGTTTCTTAATAATATATACAAGGTGGTTCAAATATGACCAGGACTGATTTTTTTTAAACCATAATTGACCCACCGTGCATTCACCTTGCGATAGTGCAGGTGGTATTTCACGATGTCTTCTACACTACCAACACTGATGGACAGCATTGCTCCAAGTTTCTTCATAGTGATGTGCCTATTCTCATGAATAAGCGTCTGCACGATCAGTGTTTTATCTCAGTGACGGATGTTCACGGCTGACAATCATGCGGTTCATTCTCCACACGCGCTCTGCCCTCTGAAGCACTTACACCACTCAACCACACGGGTCCGTGAGAGACTCTTCCCCATACTGTTGTTGGATTCTGTGGTGGATTTCAGCGGACGGGACGTTTTCTCCGAGGAATTTGATCACAATTCGTTGTTCCACGCTCCACAGTACCTTCTGTTCGCTCATCACTCTAGCAACTCCCAGACAGGACAGAACAGGTTCTAACCCGAACAGGAGGGAGGATGGAGGTTGTGGCGTCACTCTCTTAGGGTCGCACAGCTGCTGCACAGTGCAGCTTGTTTACACACAAATCAGTCCCAGTCATATTTGAACCACCTTGTAATATACACTGAATTGTAATATTGGTGTTAGGTTTAATGTGGGGTAAAATTTCAATTTTCAAAATGGGTATTTCCTTTGTAAAATATTCCTTTGAATATTTTTGTCTTATATCATTTATAGGTTTATGAAGGTGAGCGACCCATGACAAAGGATAACCACTTGCTTGGAAAATTTGACTTGACAGGAATCCCTCCAGCACCCCGAGGTGTGCCCCAGATTGAAGTCACGTTTGAAATTGATGCCAATGGTATTCTACAGGTAACTCATAATAGCAGGACATAATGAAGCCTTACTACATCGTTATGTTAGTTTCAATAAATACTGTTTAGATAAAAAAGTTTAGATCTGCTAATGCTTTGGAAGTATGTGCATCTCATTGTAAACATAACTGTGTATATAAAATTATAATATATAATAAATTATTTAGATTAAAAAATCTGGTTTTTCATCCAGAGTTGTTTTCTAAATTGGCCAAACTTCCATCAAATTTTCATAGCAGCTACTAGTATCGAGTTTAACAAGAATTCATTTACAATGGGGTTTCCACATATACGGATGAACAGCAGCAGTAGATGTTCTTCACACTGAACTAAAACTCACAAAGTTAACAACTGTTTTAAAATTAAGTGTCTGTGGCATTGCTAACCATAAGTTTTAATTTCTTCATTGTGTTGGAAGGATCGAAAGAATGGTATAGCACAAAGTAGAATATGTAAGAAAGTTTTGTGTAGGCAATTTGATGTTTAAGTGAATTTGGGTTTTACAGTCTGCTGTTATAAGTAGAAGTTTCATCTCTGTATTTTTGATTTGAAAGTAATAATAGTCATCAAATTGTACAGGTTTCTGCTGAGGATAAAGGCACAGGTAACAGGGAGAAAATTGTCATTACCAATGACCAGAATCGCCTTACTCCTGATGACATTGAACGAATGATCAAGGATGCCGAGAAGTTTGCCGATGATGACAAGAAGCTAAAGGAACGTGTTGAAGCCCGTAATGAACTGGAATCGTATGCTTATTCCCTTAAGAATCAGCTGGCAGACAAAGAAAAGCTCGGCGCAAAGGTTAGATGTAGTGGATGTCTTATAATCTTTAAGGTTGATATTTAGGTGAACTGAGAAAAAGTAAAATTTTTTATTAAGTAACAGTGTGGTGAAATGTTTCGTTTTCTTCGTTTTTGTGTTGAACATTTCTAGGATCCTTGGAATTATGTTTATATTTATGTACTCTGCTTTGTGATCGTTCATAATATTTATGATAAACTTGTTCCACAGGTTAGTGATTCTGACAAAACAAAGATGGAAGAAGCTATTGATGAGAAAATAAAGTGGCTGGAAGAGAACCAGGATGTGGATACGGAAGATTACAAAACACAGAAAAAAGAACTGGAGGATATTGTTCAACCTATCATTGCCAAACTCTACCAGGGTGCAGGTGGAGCACCTCCCCCGAGTAATGCAGATGATGATGATCTCAGGGATGAGCTTTGAGAGTTGTAAAAGTAGACTGAAAAAAAAAACAGTTGTGATGTACAGTGAACTTCACAAGAGGCTGTGCAAAGTTGATGCCTCAACACCCTTAGCTGGGTACAGAAGAGAACCCTGCCTATGGATAGGGCTTTAAAATTCCATTCAATATTATGTGTTATAAAACAAAGTTTGAAGTGCTTGCTTGCATAAATGTACTTCTTAGAGAAGCAGTTCAGTAATTTTGGAAAGGAGGAAATTTGTATGGTCTTCATTTGTGTTTCAGCAAATTTTCTTCCAACAGTACTCTGAGAAGCTAGTACGGTTAGCTTAACTAATGCCATGTTGGGAATTGGGTAATTATAGCTTGTTTTGTGTATATGTTTGTTCAGGGAATCAGAACTTTGGCAGTATGATCCTTGGATATTGTTGAGATGTGAGTTAATTACCATTGTTGCTGGAAAGCATTTTTCAGATACATTCAGAATTGTAAAGAATTCCTCTACAATTAGTATTCTGTACATGGGCATAAAATGTTTCCAGGGATTAGTATCCAAGGATAATTTGTCCATATTTTTGATTGAATGTAATATCCTTAGACTAGAAAAAATCTACCATACTGTATTTGTAATACTTCCAGACTGTTTCTGAATTTCTTTCGATTGTTAATGCTTATTTATTCTTTTTCAGTGAACTGTGGCATTAATTTGTTTTATTCGATAGTCTGATATATATTTGCCACAAGAATGACTGAGTAGTTGTACAGATTGTATGTGTGAATGTATGTTGTTGAAATAAATATTCATTTTCCAGAATAGTGAATTATTTTTTATTCATCCTAGTTAGTTGCAGGGGTGGGATGGGACGGGACGGGACTGAGTTCCTGTACTGTGGCCTGAAGTGGGCCTGTTGTACCAGGTGAGTATGGAGCATTGGTGGGAAGAGGAAACCTTAGTGTTCTGAGTTAAATGTGCTCCAGTGCAATATTTTTCACCATAAATCCTGCATGGACTACCTTGGAATTGAATCTGCATCCCCACAGTGAGAGGTCAGCAACAAACCACCCTAGTGATGGCATAGCCTTATTAATCTGGGAGATGAGTTTTCAGATTTTAAATGGAAGATATTGAGTGGTAACCTTACAGAACATGTACAATGACTCATATGGACTCCCAATAAGAGAATTATAGCTTGCAACAACTTGATCTCTCAGCACAATTTTTTAATAATCTTAGATTTGGATATGTTCGTTCTTTTAGGTGTATAAAAATTATTTCAAGTAGTGCAGGCTTCCATACATGAGGTGCAATGATTTGAAATATATATTGAGAAGATACAAAAGATTAGATGTTTTAATGTAGTAATACTAGAGAATGTACAATTGGAATAACCTTTAAATTGAAAATATTAATGCTGGACGGGCTTTCTCTTCAGGCTGTCCAATTCTAAAGAAAGTAATTCCTGATTAGAACAGACTGTTTATTAGTAAGAGTAAATATGTTAGATTTGAGATTTGCACAGTCATAGCTATGAAACATTCTATCTTGGGATGTAATGCAGTGTTTGCTTGACTTTCACAAGACTACTCAGTGTTATATTCTGGAAGATAGAACTCTTCAAGAAATAATAAAATTTGCAGATATGTTTAAATAAAGGTGATGTGATTCATCCATGTTTAAACTAACATAGTCACTATTCAAAAACAATTTATGGTTATTGCATCGTTGCTTATTGAAATGTAAGGAAAGAGAACATCTGTAATTGATTCTACACATTGCTTTATTAAAATAATTTTATGCTCAGGAAGTAAGGATATCAAACATACTAGCGAAGAAATTATTTCAATGTGTTAACACTTGACAGCTCATTGCTGTGATAACCCAAAATAGAGTGATTTCTCGGCTTGCACTCGCTGACATAAGACTGTTACTGATAAGACGATGTGTTATTGTAGTTAGTATATTCATAAACAAGGCATATGAAATAATTTGTCAGAAAGTTCAGGTATCATTAGGTCTATATAAATGAAACAAAAGTAATCATAATTGAAGGGGCCAGTGCAAAAAATGGGTGGCTGCAGGTCTGGACAGAATTTAGTTTTACATTGTTTGGTACATACAAAAAGCTGTAGAAAACATGGTTGGAACAGATAATCTTAATGCTCTGTGAGCAATAAAGTATGTATGAGGGTTGGAACTTTAATAGTGGCAACTATTTATTTACAACTGATACAAAATAGATGCATGTATCGAAGTTTTACTCTCCTTCAATGTAGTCACCAGCATTGTGTACAACACGTTGCCAGTGATGTGGAAGCTGTAGGATACCTTTTGCAGTGCCTGTTGAGTTGATAGTTCGAATGGAGCAGTCTACTGCCTGAAGAATCTCTGGAACAGTTCCAAAGCGAATGCCATGAACTGGTTCCTTCATCTTAGGAATCAGGTCAAAGTCACAAGGGCTTAAGTCTGGGGAATATGGTGGATGGTACAGCACTTCCCAGTCCCATCAATCGAACAAATCAGCCACAGCTTGCGCTTCTGTGGCCAAGCATTGTCCTGCAAAATGATGGGTGGGTTCTGCAGAAAGTGTTGCCGCTTCTTTCTCAAAGCTGGTTGCAGGTTGTGTTCCAAAAATGAACAGTAATACTGTGCATTGACGGTCTGCTGTCAGGGAACGGCATGTATTAGGATAACACCATCACAGTCGTATACGAGAATCACAATAACAATTTTGACATTGTTGGGGTTCTGACAGACTTTTGATTTTCATGGTGGTTCCACCTTGCCACTGTTCTGTAAGGCAATGCAGATTCCCCGCAAGCCTCTTGAAGACCTTGATGACACTGTCATGCTGTATGGCCTCTGACACATTCAACTGTGTTGTTCCTGTTTCTAAAACATCATGACAACTCTACATTAGACCACCAGCTAACACAAGGCTCTGTTCTCGTCACTGCACATATGCATGATGTGGGAAGGGAGAGTCCATTTGCTCTGAGGTAAGGTAGGTATGTAATTAACATGTGGTATAAGTGACATTATTAGGTTCTGAGCCGTGTCCCTTGACCCCGTGGGTCGGGAACCCCGTTCTCCTACCCACTTAAACCCATGGACTCCTGTTCAAAGCGGGCAAGGGACAGGCTCATAAGACGACTTGCTTGTACGTGGTGCACTATGCCTCCCCAAGGTCGAGTAGGGGATCTCGGGAGAGGAAAACCACTGTCGGCACTATGGGCCAAGCTGGACGGATCTGCTAGTCTGAACTAGTAGGGAACACACACAACCCAAGTATACACAAATACTACAGGCGTTTCTAACATATAAATAAATGTGTATATTGATAACAAGGCATACAGGTGACCCTGCCTGATGGGCAGTGGCTGGTCAAAAGCATAATCACAGTTAATACAGAATTACTCTGTGGCTAAGCGCACAGACACAATATAAGCACGCCTCATGGCATCCATTTGACTTTACAGGTGACTCTGCCTGATGGGCAGTGGCTGGTCAAAACACGTTCACATTTAATACAGAATTACTCTGTGCTAAACGCACAGACACAAATATAAGCACGCCTCATGGCAACCCTTGACTTTACTGGGAACAGAACTATATATTCATACTCACGCCTGAAGGGCGACCGGCTATTCAAGCCAACAAACAAAGCATTTACTTACGCCACACGGCGTCGTGATAAAACAAGGAAACCAAGCACCACAGTAAGTCACTTACTGGCGTTTCCAAAATTATGAACAAAGCTTAACCTCGCGACTTGATACAACCTTCATCAGGTCGCGAGGGCACTCTTCCCCCTTCAGAATGCGCCGGGGCCGAAACAGAATTTCACAACTCAAACCAACCTAAACAGCAAATTTAGAACCGGCGGTGTTACCTGTCTGAAGGTATCGGGCAGAGAGAGCAAAGCATACATTCTGCGTACGCAAGAAGCCTCGCATGCCTCCAGGAGAGGGGAGGACAAGGTCAGCTGACCTGATGTCAGCTAAGACCTTGCGTGGAAAGAAAGGGGAACGGCTCGCATCCTGGCGTTTGGGGGGGGGGACTCCAAGGAACTTCACAAGAAGAACCGTTGCACGGTTCAGTTCCGTTGCATGGCGTCTCTACAGCAGTGTTGTTACTATTAAAGTTCCAACCCTTGTATGGCCATGCAAATGAAGCAGGTGAGTGACCTCAGAGAAGCACAGAATCAGTTGTGGCTTTGTGAAATTGAAGAAATGAAGGTGAGATAAATGTCTTAAATAGTTTAAAATGAAATGATTCCAGGAAAGTAGGCTAAAGAAATGAGATAAGTTATCCAAGAAAATGCTATACTAATTTTGGACCTACATAGCACTCATTTATTATTAAATGCACTCACAAATGATTGTGTTCAACCTTAATGCATGGCTACTGTGCAGCCAACATCATGTGCAATGCCTACTGTTTCCTTAAGATTAATAAAATAATTTGCAAACATTTCTTATTTTTATATCTATTATGCCTTCATCTGTATAAAGAAGCTAGCAATATCTATTAAAATTATACAGCATAAAACGAGCTCTAGCTGCTATTCCACCAAATGGATTCCTATAACAGTGATTTATTATATTCAGGAGGTACTTGGTTCAGACCTTGGCCAGCAATCCTGACTGAGATCTAGAAGTTTGTGACAGTTGTATATTAATACAATTATAACAGGACAATGGATAGTGTCCAGGAACAATAATTATATCCTGACTAAGGTTTTCTGCAGTCCCTCCAAGCAAATGCTGGGACAGTATTTTAGTCAGGCCACAACCACTTCCTTCCAGCACCTTTCCAATTCATTTCCCATCCTATCATTTGATGCTATATATAGTCCAACTGCTGACAGTGTTATAAAATAAACCACAGAAAAAATCCATGATTCCAGTGTGACATCAAAACTAACAACACGGAGCTGAGTCCTTTTTGAGAAGCAAATACATTCTTGACTACTCAACAATTCCATTGTGTGGAACTTGAAGATTCATTACTGTGTTCAGAATAGTCTGCCTGTAAACCTGTCCTGAGCCAGGTAAATCCAGTATACCGTACTTCTTTAAAATCTATTTATTTATCTTCCCATTTATGTTTAATTTTCCAAGCAATCTCTTAAATTCATGTTTCCTGACAAAACTCTTCATATTTTTCATTTCTCCCATCCTGACCACATCATCCTCTATGATTTGAAGACTCTAATATTGATTAAAGTGCACATTAGGCCGTGCCATAGCTCAAGTGGTTAGTTGCTGGCTTCCCACTGCAGCAACCCGGGTTCGATCCCGGGTCTGGTCAAGTAGGATTTGTGGTGGACGAAGTGGCGCTGGGGCAGGTTTACTCTGAGTACTTCGGTTTCCCCTGCCAATCTTCATTCCACCAATTGCTCCACAATCACCCTCACCTATCATCTGGGGCTGGTACAATAGAGAAGTGGCCGCAGTACAAGGGACTTAGTCCCGCCCCATTAGCAATAAAAAAGAAAGTGCACATTATGAAGCTACTCATCATGTAATTTTCTCCATCCTCATATTACTTCCTCTCCCTTTGGTTTAAGTATTATACTCAATATCTTGTTCCCTTCCCAATGGGATGGTGTTCAGAAACCAAAGACAATACTTCATTTAATCAAGTGATTCTTTTTAATTACCAGGTTCCATAAAGCAATGCAGAATATATCTTGTTCCACCAATGACTTAGTCTGGCCTGTGCACATCACTGGAGTGTCATGAAAGAAACTTTTGCACTAACTTCATAAATCTGTATTTTTGTTTTAACAAACCCAACTGAAGTTGGGTTCGTTAAAACCACGGGATAGTGCAAGTGGTCACTGTAAGAAACAAATAGTAAATCTGATCTAACTGTATCTTTTACTTAAGTTCAAATTATTCAGAGAAATTAATTTTGCTAGAAGCATTACAATGGAGAATTTCACAGGGCTCTTTATGTTGACACTGATGCCATTTTCTCTCTAGTACCAAAAAAATACCTGCTATTATGACACCTGCTGCCATGAGAACCAAAATGGGTGTTACACTGTAGAAGTCTACTGTGAACCAGGGACTTTTCAGTTGAGGAAGCTGTGGTTTCCACCACTGAAGACGTAGACGTTTCAGTATCCCATTATCCCGCAGATTATGCAAGCTACAACAAATAAAATATAGAGAATGATTAGAAGGGAGATGGAAACACCAATGAACAATTCATCATAATTCATATATTTTCTTGATATTTCTTTCAGTTATACTCATGTCTCAATACAGGAATTGCATGACATTTTAACAAGGAGCAAAAAAATAACAGTAACATTCATGGTATGAATTCTTACATGTTAAAATTCAAACATTTAAATTTGATAATGAGCACAGTGTAAAAATAAATGCTTAAAAGACAATTACAAATCTTAAAATGTTACATTTAATTAAAACAGTAACATTTTTTAAGCTAGAATGTACTGCATCACTAAAACTTATTTTTAGTCTACTTTCCTATTTTTAAAAAATTAAAGTAGGCTTATGAGATCATCATGCTGTCAGTGTGTCTGTATATCCCCTTACTAACTTTTGAATGCCAGAACCGGTCTTTGTGAAACTTGGTACATGTATCATGGCATCTGAGCCCATCTCAACAGTGTGCTACAAAAATCCCTCCCATCAGTCTATGTATCTGTATGTGCATCGCCCTATTGTTGCTAGGCAACAGCTTGGTAAAAATGTTACTGTGACAATGAATACACACACAAAAATAGAATTGTTGGATAAATTGTTTTCAATGCTGTCCATGTCATATCTTCCCTGAATTTCTTGTATTATGGCAGAGATATTTAGCTTCCATTTTAGCTTCTTTTATCTGACATTAAGCAGCATAGTTCCAAAGTTATTAGGAAGGGGTTTTTATGACAGAATTTTTGTCCAGTTTTATCCATTTTCTATGAAGTAATATGCATATGAAATATACAGGCTAGCATTGCCTTTTAACAGTTCCATTTTTTCTTTTTCCTTGAGGTTCATAAGCTCTAAGAACACTAGATATGGCAAATGTGCTTATGTATAGATATATATACAAATAATCTTTAGTGTTGCCAACTTGACACGTGTTATACTACAAATATTTGGCTTTACAACAATGTTTTACGTGTCCTTGTTAATCGTGCAGTTTCATTGCATCATATCACATAAATGTTTAACGTCTCTTGCATATGATGGATTCCTCTTGTACTGCACTGACTGAAAACATTCACTTTTGCATGCCTTGTTTACATTTATAACTATGTGGTCATTTAGACTTTCAGTTCTTACATTATGATATAAAATGATGGAAAGTATGCCACAGGAGTACAAGGAAAGTCATGTTATCTTTAAAAAACCTTAGCATACAAGTATATGTATTATATGCCGGTCACGGTAGCCGAGCAGTCTAAGGCATGCACTGTCTTTGCTCGTTCGGAAGCCGGGATCGTGGGTTCGAATCCCACTCGGGGCATGGATGTTTGTGTGCGTTTTTCTGTGTTTGTCTACAGATAGAGCCCTTGTGACAAGCTGATCACTCACCCAAGAAGTTCTACTGTCTGTGTAAGATCTAGAAAAACCAAAGTGAACGGAAGTTCAGGGAGGTAGGCCTAGGCCCACTGGGGCTGTAGTGCCAAAGAAAAAAAAAAATATGTATTATATAATACATTGCCTATAAACATAGTACTAATTAAAATACTGCATGCATTATAACTCTTTGTAAGCACTAACACTGCTGACTGTATGTGACATCACATGGAAAACATGTAGAAGCAGAACCTGTGTTCCCTTCTAGAAAGTAACATTACCATATACTGTATCACACAGCTAATACAGCACCACTCAATAAAACATTCTATGTCCTGTATGCATTATGAATATACTCTACTGTTCATGTGTGAGCAGTATTTCTGAAATGACCCACACATAAGTATTTATGTTCATATATATCTGTGTGTGTATGTGTATGTGCATGTGCATGTGAGAGAGGGAAAGAGATATATTGTATCATGCAGTTTTGGTATACATAATACATGAGATGTGAGATTTTCATCATTATGAAAATTTGGATTGTGGGCTTTTGGGTTAAGACTCCATATACTCTTGTGAGTGGTTGGTAACAAGAATTTCAGAGGGAGGGCTGCCTCCATCTTTAGAGTGGAAGTTGGTGAGGGATTGGGCAGTGTGTCGCTAGAGGATTGGCCACTCAGTGCTAGGGATGAGGAAGATGAAGGAGCATAATATGTGCCTCAACAAAAGGAAGCTCTCTTTTCCCTTTCTCAGATTAGCCAACCCTCTGGTTCTCCACACTTTGATCCCTTCTCAGCTTGGATATTACCCTATCCACATCCAAGCTTAATTCGCCTTTACTCTGAAAATGGAGAGAGCGTATTCCTCTGACATGTTGGTAACTGATTACAGGATTGTGATGTGACATAACTCAGAAGATCACAGTTCAGATTCATAAAATATTCTCTTTCACATGCCAGAGGATTACTCACTTGTAGTCTATGATTCTCTTGTAGGGATTATTCTTGGAAAGTGCAATTGCCATGCTGACTGGAAATGATTCATCAGGCAGTGCCATGACATCGCATGGAACAGGATGCCATGTGATAAGATGGAGTGTAGTCACGAAAGCATACTTGTCCAAGCAGACCTGCTTTATTCCTTCCTCAGCAGTGTTTAGCAAGCTTGACTCATGCTGGATCAGCTTCGTGAACAGCTCGTGCATGTAACCACTGGCTGAATTCTATACAGGACATAAATCAGGATCCAGGTATAATAGAACATAATAGAAGGGGGATGATGTTAAACCATCCTAGCACTGTAACCATTCATGATCTATTGTGCATCCCCAACAACTATCCCATCAGCAGCCCTGAAAATTAAATACTGTTTTGGAGTTTATTATAGTTACTAGTACGAGTATTTAGCAGGATAAAGTCATAATATAAAGACAGCTAGTAGAGTCTTTGAAAGCAAATTAGACTCTGGAATGCATGCTGCCATTTAGTTCCAATCTTTTGCCATTTTGTCTGCTATCTAGAAATGTGAAAATTGAAATATTCGTATACAAAACTATAAATCTGTATTTTTTATGGGTGTGAAACTTGGTCTCTCACATTACAGGAAGAACATGGACNACAAAACTATAAATCTGAATTTTTGTATGGGTGTGAAACTTGGTCTCTCACATTACAGGAAGAACATGGACTGAGGGTGTTTGAGAACAGGGTGCTGAGGAGAATATTTTGACTTAAGATGGATGAAGTAATAGGAGGGTGGAAAAAACTGCATAATGAGGAGTTTCATAAATTGTAGTCCTTGCCAGTTATTATTTTAATTATCAAATCAAAAAATATTAGATAGGCAGAGCATGTAGCCAGAACAGGAGAGAAGAGAAATTCATCTGAAGTTTTGACAGGAAAACCTGAAACAACGAGAATGTAGGCAAAGATGGGAGTATAATATTAAAATATATCTTAAAGAAATAGGATGGGAGGGTACAGACAGGGCTCTGGCACAGGAGAGGGATCGGTGGTGGGCTCTGAGGAACATAGTAATGAACGTTGAGGTTATATATAATTCTGGGAATGTCTTGAGTGGCTGATTATCTATTGGCTTCTCAATGACTACTCTGCTCCATTGAGTGAGTCGGAAAGTTCAGGAATAAGGAGCTTCACATGCCTTTGTAAATTTATGCACTTCCAGTGTTCTACATATTTTCTACCACTACTATCCCTTAAAGCCCAACTGACAACTCCATCAGAGATGCCACAGTCAGGTTCTGGTCCTATGAATGGAGTTCCTGATCCACATTTAGCAAGTAATTTGGTAAGCTCACTTCCTGTGTCCTGTCACTCACATCAGTTGTACTTCATTATGTTCTACCAGTGTTACAAAGGATTGCAAGCAGCTCAACAGTAGTTTTGAATTAATCTGAACGTATGACCCAGAGCCAACAACATTACAAGGTTAAGTTCTTACTTCAAACATTTCATATTCAGCTGAATCTGGCATGATGCCCAGCCTGTAGGTGCCATCCTTGAGTAGTCCCTGGAGATCCCTGAAGGGCATGACTACACTTTGTTTGGTGAGGAATGAGATTAAAGCTGCAGAGTATGCAGACAATAAAATCACAGCTGTCAGGTATGCTGTCAGGAACACAAGCCGGCATGAAATTGACTTTGGTGTGAAATCTTGTCCTGTGAGGCAGAACACAATTTCATGTATTGCTTGTTTCTATCCATAAAATTGATAAGCTGGTGTAGGTATACATTATTTTTATGTACATAGTAAGTCAATAAGTAAGTTACAAATGGATATAGAACTTAAATAAGTGTACTGATCTGAAAAATGCTTTTATTTCTCAACATAATCTCCCTGTTCATTGAGGCACTTGTCCCATCGTTTCACAAGCCTCTGAAAACCAGCAGAATGAAATTCTTTGGGCTGCTGTTAGAACCAGGCATGTTCACATGGCATGGCCTACCTCATAATGCATGACAGGTTGCATGCTTCCATTGAAATGCCTTACAAAGTTTCCTGAGGATGTTACAGTAGGAGTCGGCATTTACGGTTTGTCCTTGAGGCTGGAATGTGGTGAGCAGTATGCCTTTGTGATCCCATAAGACTGTGAGCATCACTTCCCTGGAGGATGGTGTCACCTTAAACTTTCTTTTTGGCAGGCGATGCAGGATGTTTCCACTGCATTGATGCACACTTTGTCTTGGTCTGGTAATGGTGAATCCAAGACTCACCATATAGAACTTAAACTATTTGTTATTTATTATAATAACTATTTTCATTCATTTGGCTTTCGTCCCATTGTTAAAGAATATAAATTGTAATGTATTAAGTGCTTACTGATTGTGACACTTTTAACAAATTTTAATAAAAATATAATAAAAGTTAATGTGATACAATGCATATATATATAACATTCATTCACCATTAAAATATTACATAATGTGAATGGTGATAAAGAATGATATAAAAAATTGTTGAAATAAGGGGTTTTAGCATATTTAACATAGAAATCCTAGCCAAGATTCAAATAAAAGTGTGAAATATATTAATATCAACTGTTCCACTACAATATTTCATTTGGCAATAAATTAATATAAAGACCAGCTAGTTATGCAAATTAGCAAATCATCCATCTGGAAAGTAAATAAACAAATTTAAGTACACTTCTCCACTCTAGATTTTTAATAGGGACTATCAGAAAGAAATTTGCCACATATGGCACAGTAAGATGAATCTAGAGCACAAAACAAAGATTAGAATATATTTGGCTATACATATTTGGAACAACTCATGAAGACTAAAAGTAAGTAAAAACAAGAAAAACTTCAAATATAAAGAACAGTCTCAGGATTTGAATCAGAACTCTCTTTATGAGATACATGCTGACCTAGTTCATTTTATCAACAATCAGAGCTTATAAGGAGAATGTAACATTTGTGGCACCATTCTCTTACCTTGTTGGCAAAATATACTGAAGACACAGCACAACGAATCATACAAGCCATATCGTGAGGGGTCATCAGCTTCAGCATTACCATAGTGACGACCTAAGTTATGGAATGCTGACAACATGAAGGACAAAACAAGCACTGAGATGCCAACCATGAGCCATAAGCCTGTAGAAAATGGCTTCAGAAAATCATCCCAGGAGAGGACTTCATGTAACAATTGCTGTATGAGAACATTGTACCTGGAAGTGATAGTTATTTAAATTCTTTTATCAAAGGGTACTGAAATATTATACCTGTTACACCTATTTTCTAGTTGACTCAAATTATTCTAATATTATTCTGACCTGTCTGTTACATCATTATCATTATATGTGTTTGAATGTCATAGGACATTTAAACTGCATTCAGACTCAGTCAACTAGAATTAAATGACAGTTAATTTATTATTACATCAAAATACCAATTTATTAAACTGCAGTAATGCTAGTTTTAAAATATAGATACAAAATCGAGTCTAAATTATACCCATATATCTGTCTACCAAGTGGAATATACTACAGATAATTAGTGTTGAATGCATGGGGCTAATTTATATTGTAACTCATATATATTGGGTTATTTTGGAATATACCAAATGCAAAACAGAAGCAGCAATCTATACCATGAGTTGGGAGGAGCTGGTTTCTTGTAATGGTATACTGCATCTTGTCAGTTATCATTCTTGTATTTCAAATATACAGTACACTCATACAGATCTGTGCGCAATATGTCACATTGCTTCCAAACTCATTCTTTGTGTGTAGTACAAAATTGCAAGAATTGTACAAAATCTGAGCAGGAAAGAACATTGGACAATAACTAATTTTACACAGTTATTACAAAGAACACTCATGAAAAGTGGAAGAAACCAAATGCTTATCAGTAACATTTTGACCAACACCCTTTAATTTTTTTATTGCTAGTGGGATGGGACTAAGTTCCTTGTACTGCAGCCACTTCTGGCCTATTGTACCAGCCCCAGATGATAGGTGAGGGATTGTGGAGCAATTGGTGGAATGAAGATTGGCAGGAGAAACCGAAGAACTCGGAGAAAACCCGCCCCAGCGCCACTTTGTCCACCGCAAATCCCACTTGACCAGACCCGGGATCGAACCCTACACTGAAATTTTCCCTTATAACAAACATATATTAAGTTCATCTGCACTTGTTCACTGTTAGGTGATGATATTGAAGTTGGGAAGAAATCAAGACTATACGATACTTGGCATTAAGATTTCAAAGTTTACTATTATTACATGCGAAAACAGAAAACTAAATTACATATAAATTGTTTACTATATACAAATTCATATTGTAATAAAGAATTATATCAAAAGCACGAAATAAATTTTAATGCAGCCCAGCTTCCTTAAAGATTTTCTTTTTCTTAATTGTGATTGTGTTCTTGAAGCCATTGTTGCTGTTTAATATAAAATTCTGATAATGTTCTTGTAACATAATTTATTTAATTATCTATAAAACTACCAGACTTACGAAGATTTGATATACTCGTAAAATATGTAGTATATTTCACCTTTCTCAGAAATGATTTTATAAAACATTTTATGCCAAATATATTTGCAATGAGATACACGCAGAAATGTATGTAGCCTTTCTTGTAAAATCGTCATTAAATATGCCTGATCTATATAAATGCTGAAATGACTCTGCAGTTGTTGATGAAACTGTGTAATATAAATTTTAATGAAAATCCGTCCAAGAGTCCTTGAGCTATTCCATGGACACTGATGGACAGACTGAGCAAATTTAACAGGTACTCTGCAGGGTTGTGAACGCCAAGGCTTAAAATGTAATTGTGGTCTTAGTAGGACACTAATGATTGTTTTCATCTTTTAAAAGTATAAAATGGAAAACTCACCAGATTCTCAAAATCGTTATCATGAAGATATCAAAATGTGTTTATAAATTAAGGAATAAACAAAATGTCTATACATCTTCATTAACAATTACCTTTGGAATCTGAACATTCTTTTACATTTTCTTCCCTTTGCTGTTAAAGATCTTTGCCTAAATTCATTTTCTGGACGTTATCTCTTTCGGATGACTTCGTGACTTGGACCACTTGTTAGGGGTTATTTTACAATTAGAACGTTTAATAAAACTGATAAAGTAAAATTGCAACAACTCCGTTTATAAACGTGAAGAGGTCCTGCTGGATTGATTATTTCCCATGACGTAGGATGTGTTTGGTAGTTGTGACATTTTCTCATGGGGCCTACCTTGTGATGATGAGGGGAAATGTGAAGTCTACAGCTCCCAAACGTTCCTGAGTCATGGTAAACTCACTAAGCCCAACGTCCACCTCGTGGGTTCTCAGCATTTTGACCAAACCATTCCATGAGCCGTTGACGAGTTTACCATAAGCAGCAGCCCTCTTGAAGGATGTTCTGAAATTTGGTGTAACACTGAAACTGAATTATTTATTCTATCTTCAACTAAGTCTCAACATTGAAGTTTGCTCAAGCAGTAATACTCCTGAATGAAGGTCCTTGTGGTTTTCCTCTATTCACCCAGGAAAATTCTGGGATAGTACCTTAAATTAGGCCATCTCTTCTTTCCATGTTCTTTCTAACTAATAATGTATTATTTGCCAATCATTCTCTTTAAAACCTAATTTCGAAGTTGTGTATGAGGAAAACCTTCGCCGACAAGAGGCGGGCGCTCGGTCGGTATACTTTGTTTCCGGACTAAAAGCCACGGAGCATGAGGGAAAACGTATGAGGGTTTACGTATTTGTTTTATGCGTCATGATTAATATAATGCATCAACATCCAATGTGTAACTCTGAAATTAAGACCATTAAAATTAATCAGAAAATTTAAAATATTCTGTATAATATATAATCAATCCATTAATATTACCTTATGCTTCTGACACGGATTAACCCTTTACATTGGAAAATTTTAAAGAAAATCAGCGTCCATGTTAAAGGCATTATACGGGAAAGTATCCACTGAACAAAGGTTAACGTTTTCAAAGATTTTCTTAGAAAGGAATGAGGAATTATCGCTGACTAATTTCGTGCCTCTCAGGTGACGAAATAGTATTGACATTTACGGAAGTATGGTATTTTTCAAAACGTAATGGTCGTTTATTCAGTCTTTTGCCTCGACAAATATTTTAACGAGTTATGCTCCAGATAAGCAGAGAAACTCATATAGATATACACACAGAGTCCGTTATTTTCTCTCGGTTGTCACAAACATTGAAATTGCCGACAACTTTAGTAAAACTCCCAAATATCAAGATCAGATCCATTAGCCCAATTATCAAATTTCATGAAAAAGCGTTCAGTGGTTCTGAAGTTGTACTATCATGCGTAGACAGAAGAGGACAGATTATCTTATATGGAGAAAGAATTCAACGTGCGCTCCGCAAAGTCGCGAACACGCCTACAAAGCCATTTAGAAAAATCTGCACTTCTAGCAGTGGGGCTCACTCTTGTGCTTCAGGAGACTGCCTTTTGTCTTGAATTTTCTCGACGATTGGTTGCTGTTAAACCCTGTCCATACAGAGGAAGGAAACAAACTTATTACTCACGTGAAATTCAGCCTTCTCTCTAACAAGGCCCACACTTGACCAAAGAATCCGTCAACTGTTACTATTTCGTCTGTTTCCTTTAATATCGTAATTGGAGGGTCCTGCAAGGGAAACAAATCAAGTGGTTAAGCATTATGTATGATTTAATATGAACCCACTGAAATACAAGTAAGCATGCAAACCCTTGTAATAATTTTTAAATGTTTTGTGCCTTAAGTTCACTGTATTCCACACGTACATGTCTTAAAAAATAAATTCATAATGACATTTTAGAAGGTCTGTGCTCATGTATATGACCTACTGTAGGCTGCCCGTAACAATGATCTACTAGACAGGCAGTAATAAATGTATATGTTAATGTCGCAATTTAAGATGACGTACAAGGTCCGATAAAATTATTTTTAAAATGCATTGTGGAGAACAGTGAAAACAGCACAGCAGCCACGAGCAAACCCTGGACGATATAAAGAACCTCCACATCAAGATAGCCAGGTGGCACAATATCTGCCCCATATAAGAGGGACGATGGGAGGACGAACACGAGCCTGCATGGTTTACGAATTTTAATTATTGACAATCCAAAAAAATTTTAATTAGCATCAATAAATTTTATACAATTTTATAAAAAAACTTTACATTCCCAGGAAACTGCTGTGTTTGTGAAATGTTCTATTTTGTGTACTATGTATTGTAGCATATAAGTGTACGTACTTCACGTCTAAATAACTTATGTGATGGTGGTTTCCTATTTGTAGTGATGTTTGCCCTCTGAAGATGGTCCACAGAGACCGAAACATGTAAGGGTGTTAAGTTTTCATGTAGTAAAAAACTTACAGGTCACATTGGACGGAGTGATTTATAATTGTAATTGTTAGTGTGATGGACCAGAATGAAACAAATCAAACTCATTGTGGACAGATTCGTCTGCGATGAATATATGCAGATAGAATAGCAAATAATTGTATGTCCATACATGTTTACAGCCTATTCCTTAGTTGCTTGGAGTCAGCATTTGAATTCAGAGTGGTTTTTCTCGTTTCTGTGTAATGATGTCTGAAATTATAGAGCTACATTTGTACATTAACATTTTACAAGATCAGGAAAATGACGATGAAAATTTATCAGATTTCTAAATTTAACATTCTCATCTGCAATGGCTCATTAGTTATTGCTAAAATTAAAATATAAATACAGCTAATTTTCGCACGATCGTCATATTAATGGTTTAGATTTTGTAAAATAAGGACTTTGAGAAGAATGTTGCATATATGTAATTTTTCTTTTTTTGGCAATTTCTACCCAAGAAATATTCAAAACCATAAACGATAGATTTATTGACGCTCCGACCTCACTCACAGATATATCGATGTTAGAAAAGGTACGTAGCGGTACCGGGTAACTTGGTTTTGCGGTAACGGTCTAGCCTTCTATGTCTTCGAGAGGTGCTCATTTCGAAACTCGGCTGGCCCATCAAATATCCGAACTGAGGTCTTTCGTGATTCTCCTAAGATCCTCCAGGCAAATTCCATGACATTACAGCGATTAGGCAACGTAAGATTTACTTCCAAATCCTTTCCAATTCATCATTCGACGCTATATATTCTAGATACTAACAGAACCCACAGAACTTTGCAGGTGATAAAGAATTAAAGCATACAGAGGTGGATAACGTCCAGTGAAATAAGTCCATGCCAGATTTAATTAAACTGCTGTTAGTGGAGGACAAACACGCATATACGACAGGGCGAACACAAGGACGATATGACACCTTAAGGCTACCTTGCCTTAGAATTAATTTTTTTATTGGTTCTACAGCCCTCTTGACACTGGCCTTCAATTTTTTCAATTTGATGATGATTCTACAGACGGTAGGACTCCTCGGACGAGTGATCAGCTCATCGCAAGGCCTCTATCTAAACACAGGACAACACAAACACAGAATAAGCACATACACATACCAAACATGTGAGATATGTGGGATTCGAAAGCACGATCCCGGCTTCCGAGCGAGCGAAGACAGTACATGCCTTAGACCGCTCGGCTGCAATGACCGGAAGAATGGAAATTATGCTTGTGATATTAAACCGACCTTTGTAGTGAACTAATTGGAAGTAGAATCCAGAATTGAGCAAGTTTCGTTCGTCCGTCATAATTTATTGTTTTACTGTTTATTTACTTACTTCTATCGCGGCTCCTTTCATGTGGACACCATGAAGATTATTTCTTCGTTCATACAGCTTAGTTGTGGTCCGTCTAGCACCACGGTCAGGATTCCATACTGCATACGAGTACTTTAATAAGGACATTCCCTCTGCAACCCTATAAACCTCCGTCAAATGAATTCTGTTCTCTCGAGGCTGCGCCACGAGAAAATTACAATCAAATGGTATGTTGATGCCATAGAAGAAATGTTCTAGGGAGGTCGTATCGTCGAGGAATAAGAGCCAGCTAAGACGAGACATATTGCGGCTCTGGGAGAGTCTCTGGAAATATGAAACATACTATTGTTGTCACATACGGAAATATTCCTCGAAATATTTTATACAGAGGAGTCTACATAACCGCTTAGTGTCATGATATCAGTTTCAGTGTTGTTCTGTCACCTGAATCCTGAACGCATGAGCACTTTTACATGTCAGCATTCCGTAAATACTCCTTGTTTACCAATGGCCAGTCATTAAGATCAATCGATTATTCACCCTATCAATAATGTGTGAAGAGCAAAAATCAATAAATTTTCATTTTATTATTCCCTTCATTTCATTTCAGCTCCCTTTGGTCCAAAGAGTTTACCTGCAAGTACAGAAGACTCTTATCATACTGATGCGGAAAACTCTTAAAAGGAGATACTTGGAAGACATATTTGAAGGAAGGATTAACATAATTTCATTGACTCCTTACCCAGATCCCTAACGCCGGAGTATGTGATGGAACTGTCAAATCCATTTCTCACTTTTCGGAGAATAAGAACTGTTAATGCATTTCCTTGATTTAGGTTCTTCTTGTTAATATTCCGACAGAACATTTCACAAGTTACAACTAAGGACGGCGGCTGATAACATTCATCTCCATTAGATACGGAGTCAAATATAGCATTACTGACCTCACTGTTATGCACATAAAAGGAAAAGCCTGCACTCTAAAATTTGTGATTTCACTAACTGCGTGCTATGAAGTGCTGAATAGTTCCGTGGAGCAGGCCTTCTTTAGAAGCTAGACTCTCTGCCAGTCAATAAATTACCCGTCTTTTATACAACTTCGTCCGGTCTAGAAAACCGAAATTAACGGCCATGGGGATCCGTTGCGCTGACCACGCGACACCCTCTATCCGCAAAATTTAACACTAACTTCGCCGACAAGCGGCGGTCGCTCGGTCGGTATAGTTCGCTTGTGGACTATAGGCCACGGAGTTTGTTTTGTTTGTTATACAACTCCGATGTTCATTATCGTGTTCATAAGAGTCAACCACTGAATCACAGCATGAATCTTATGAATTCACTCCACAGCCTAATACTATATTTCCGTAATATCTACTTTAATATTATCCTAATACCTACGTCTATATCTCAAATATGGCCTCCTCCTTTCAGGATTTCCGAGTGAAGTTCTCTGTGCATCTTATCTGTCACATGAGTGCTAAATTCCACATTCATCACATCTTCCTTGAACTTATCATCCTAATAATATGTGACGAAGAGTACAAAGTATGAATCTCTTATCTAAGTACTTTCCTCCAGCCTCCTGCAGGTCTCGCTTTCTTGGATCAAAATATTCTTCTCAGCCCCCTATTCACACATATTCTCAATATGTTCTCCCCCCCTTTTTGGCTGAGAGACCAAGTTCCTGTTCCTGAAATCATTATTGAAGTTAAATTACGCAAATGAATGGAACAATTAATTATGTTACATGGTTGTACTATTATGTCTGAAATAAGTTGTCTGGGGTAGGGACTTTTGGTTTTGTTAAAGAAGAAACAACGCGAGGAATTAGGACACATCCATCCCATATTAAAAGGAGGTACAATAGAAACCGGTCAAATGGCAATTGCCAGAGAGAGAAAAGAGGAAATCTCCTGTGGCTCAGCGGACGTAAGTTTTGCGTAGACCAGTACTACAAACGTTAAACAGTGCTGGTTTCTCTATTTTAATTTCTGAGGACACATGACGAAAGTAGGCTCTTTCGAAGGAAAGTCAGAATGACTGCAAGCTTGATGTGATTGTGTTACTAGGAGACTACTAAACTGGATGCGTGTTTCAACATTCTGATGATTTGGTGTGAATTATTCAGAGGTGAATGATCGACCATGGGTGGCTTTCTGTGGAAACTATTTTTGCAACCTATATACCGTGAGTTCATGCTTGGTTGTAGGGTTCGACGCGAGCAGTACACAGAGTGGCGGGGTCCCATTGTGACACCGGAATTCCTTTTCTTCTTGACTGTAAGCCTGTATATGAACTGACATCACCTGGAGCCCAGATAGAAACTTCTGAAGATGCAGTAGCATCCGACTGTCCTGGAGTTCTGGATCTGCAACAGAATGATACGAGGCTACCATAAATTCCCGCACGTGAAACATGTTCGACACCATTAGGTCTTTATGATAACTACAATAATCCTAAAGTCACTGTAGGCCTTACTTACTTACTTACTTACTCATGGAGCTGAGCCCTTCTGGAGGAGCCGCCAAAGCTGCAGCTACTCAAGAATTTCCCAGCATATTACGGAACCCGAGGGCTCATTACCGTGTTCACAAGAGCCCTCCACTGGTTCCTATCCTGAGCCAGATCAATGCAATCCATACCATCCCATCATATCTCTCTAAGATCCATTTTAATATTGTCCACCCACCTACACATTGGTCTTCCCAGTGGTCTCTTTCCTTCTGGCTTTCCCACCAATATCCTATACGCATTCCTCGTCTCTCCCATTCGTGTTACATGCCCTGCCCACCTCATTCTCCTTGACTTAATCATTCTAATTATACTTGGAGAAGAGTACATATTATGAAGCTCCTCATTATGCAGTTTTCTCCAACCTCCTGTCACTTCATCTCTCTTCGGTCCAAATATTCTCCTCAACACCCTGTTCTCAAACACCCTCAGTCTCACTTTCACTGTAGGCCTATGAATCTTTTCTAGATATTTGCTGGAGCCCTCTCATTTACCGTTTCCCTTCATATTATCGCAACGTATGTCTTTCGGGTCAACTTCAGAGAGGGATGCTGTGACGTTATTCTTACGGCGGATAGATAGCCAAGGTGCATTAATTTACTGTAGACTAATAACGCAAGCTTTTTATCCTCACTACCTCAGCAGTAAAATTGTGGGATGTTATGGTACGTATTTCAGCGTTTATTTAGATGTGTTTCTGCTTCAGATTCACTGGAAATTCATGCATGCCTAAAATCTTATGAGCATAAAATTTCTTGTTTTTAATATTCTTTACGAGTCTCTCGTTGGATACTGAACAGTGCGGAAGTGAAGTGCTGACGCAACAGACGGTGTTCAACTGACTTTAGAGCAGTAAATAAGTGTTGGGAACGTCTATACTATATAAGCAGCCAGTGATAAAAACTATCGCGAAAATACTTATTGGAAATGACCGATTAAATGCTTCAAAGCGGAGCTAACTCGATCAACAGTATATATTACCAACACGCCAATGTACAAGGACAAACAAATACACCCATAAACACGCAATATTTACCAAACAGCCAATCTCCTTTCAATTATACTGGGCCAACCAAACATGACCATGAATAACCCTATACCGAGCTATGCTAATATGTACCCAAGCATCAACATTCAGGATCAGCAACTGTCACATATACCACCTTATCAGATAGCCCCACCAGCGCAGGCTCCGATACAAGCAGTTAAAAATAACCACGACTTATTCAGTTATTCAATGACCAGTGGGAAGAAGAGATGTTGGATAATGACGAGACAACAGGTAAACATCCCTGGCAAAAAGTCGAAAATAAAAAGACGCAAGGGATACAATCCAACTTACGTTAATATTGAAGAACCTAGTACATCCAATGGATACCAACTGCTTGAGAAACTTAACGATAAAAACGAAGAAAAAATAAATAACTGCAGGAAGTAAACAACAAATAAAAGAACCTAACCCCCCTCCAATATACATACCTGGAGTTCCGAGCTTCAAAGCCATGATTGAAATTCTCTCACAAATCATAGCTGATGAAAAGTATCATACCAGAACAACCGAAAACACTGTCAAAGTCACCGTAAAAACAGTCGAATTCTACAGAAAATTAGTCCACCACCTAAAGGAAGAAGGCATTGTCTACCATATATACCAGCTGCAAGGAGACCGAGCCTACCGAATAGTAATTAGAGGACTTCACCCCTCTACACCAACAGAAGAAATGAAAGAAGAACTTAGCTCTAACGGCCATAAGGTTAGAAATCTAATCAATGTCGAACACAGGCTAACCAAAAATCCGTTGCCTTTATTCTACGTAGACTTAGAGCCGCAAAACAATAACAAAGACATATACGGCATAGAATTTCTATGCCACACAAGAATAACAGTAGAATCGCCTAGAAAAAGAAATTAAATAGTTCAATGCATGAGATGTCATTGATATGGTCATTCAAAAGCATACTGAACCAAGCCATATAACTGTGTTAGATGTGGAGGAGCACACGACTCAAGGACTTGCAAAAAGCCAAGAAACACCCCGGCTACTTGTGCCCTGTGTAATGGTGACCATCCCGCGAATTTTAAAGGCTTCTCTGTCTATAAAGTTCTAATAAACCTAAAACCAATAAGAATAGGAACTCTGCTGCCCTTCAACAACAGAACCAGCAACAGCTAGATCAACAACAACCTGGCCGCAGAACTACAAGTACTATACTACAGAAACATCAACCTAACAGAGGCTTACATAGGCAGAAAGTGCGCGAAATGAAATAAATACACCTACAGCAAATCATGAAACCCAAACCTTAACAACTACACTGACTAGTTTTCTCAGTCAATTCAAGGAAATGTTTAATCAGCTACTGAACCAGAATAGCATGATTCTGAACATGCTCACCACAGTCATCAGCAAAATAGTCCACTAATGGCCATGGCATAATCATAGTAGCTTGGAACTTCAATGGACTCTCGAACCATATTCTGGAAATTACAATTTTCCTAAGAATACACACTGGAAACGCCGGGTAATATAAGTTGATATTCTCTTAATATCTGAAAGTCATGCTACTAATAGAACGCTAATCAAAATACCCAATTATACGGTATACTATGCAAATCATCCTGATGGTGGAGCACATGGTGGATCGGCCATAATAATTAGAAGTTCTCTTAGACGCCATGAACTCGATCCGTATATAACAGATAAAATTCAGAGTGCAAAGGTCAAAATACAAACTTCCATATGGCCAATTACTATTGCCGTGATATACAGCCCTCCTAGACATATGGTCTCAACTCAAAGAGTATCCACACTACTTCAATACGCTAGGCTCCCACTTCATAGCCGCCGGCGACTGGAGTGCCAAGCACGCTAACTGGGGCTCAAGACATTACACCGAAAGGCAAAAATCTACTAGGTGCAATTCAACAAGAAGACCTATGCCACCTATCTACTGGAGAACCAACCTATTGGCCCGCTGATAGGAATAAAATCCCAGACCTCCTTGATTTTGCGATTACCAAACGGATACCAACTATCCACTGTGACATAAAATCGAACTTTGATCTTAGCTCTGACCATAGCCTTATTATCATAACTGTAAGCACTGAAATTCTACTTAAAGAACCTGCACCTCGATTATATACCAAACAAACAAATTGGAGAAAATACCAAGAAATTATAAACCAAAATATAAAGCTCAACATAAGACTAAAGGAACAAGACACAATCGAAGCTGCTGTCCGTGACTTCACAGCACTATTGCAAAAAGCGGCATGGGAAGCAACACCCCCATATTACCACAAAGCAACAGATAATAACTGGCCTCTTCTTATCAAAGAATTAATCCAGGAATAAAGGAGAGTACGTAGAGTCTGGCAACGCACAAGAGATCCTTACGACAAAAGACATCTCAACAGACTCGCTCATAGACTCCACGCTCTCATCCAAGACTTCAAAAATGCGACCTTTGATTATTACATCAAAAATCTGGAACCCAATGACCATTCACTATGGAGAACTACCAAGAAATTCAAAAGACCAACGCCCACAATATCTCCACTCAGGCAAGAAGATGGCAACTGGGCTAGATCCAACTCGGAAAAAGCACAAGTCTTCGCTGAACATCTTGGTACAACTTTCGATCCACTAAATAACCGGAAGGCTGAAGAAATAAGTAGCTATCTGGACGCTCCTTGTCAACTGTCACCTCCAGTCCGATCTATCACACCAGCTGAAGTCACTGAGCAGATAAAACTGACGAACCCACCCAAGGCCCCTGGATATGATCTAATTGTAGGGGAAAGCCTTGAGCACCTACCCAGGAAAGCAATAGTTCTTCTAACTACCCTTTACATCATAATGCTTCATCTCTCTTATTTCCCAACACAGTGGAAATTTACTCAAATTATTATGATCGCCAAACCTGGTAAACCCCTACTGAAGCTGCCTCCTACAGACCCATAAGCCTGCTACCAATACTATCCAAGATATCTGAACGATTGTTACGAAACAGAATAAAATAAATAATCAGTCCTGATACCCTGATGCCAATGCATCAATTCGGATTCAGAGAGGGCCATTCAACCATACAACAATGCCATAGAATAGTCAACACAATCAGAGACGGATTAGAAAACAAGAAAACATATGCCGCGGTATTCTTAGACATAGCAGGCATTTGACAAAGTGTGGCATCAAGGACTCCTATACAAACTGAAAAGGTCATGCCTAGTCAACTGTACCTCATACTAAAGTCCTACCTATCGAACAGATACTTCGATATTAAGATAGACAAAGACGAAACCAACTACCATCCCATACAAGCAGGAGTACCCCAAGGTAGCGTCTTGGGCCCGTTTTTGTATATTACCTACACTGCCGATATTCAAACAACAAACGAGACCAACATAGCCACATTTGCCGATGACACTGCGATTCTAGTAATGGACCTAAATCCCACTGTAACCTCTGAAAAACTCCAAAAACATCTCAACATCCTTCAACAATGACTTTGCAAGCGGAAAATCAAAGTGAATAACAATAAATCTGCTCAGATCACGTTCACAACTAGATACACTGAATGTCCACCAGTCATACTAAATAATGAATCCATTCCAATGAAGAATGAAGTCAGGTGCTTGGGTCTTCACCTTGATCGGAGGCTAACTTGGAAAGATCATATTGAGGCAAAGATAAAACTAAGCTAATGAAGTGGCTTATTGGCAGAAAATCTCAATTGTCTCTTGAAAACAAACTACTAATCTATAAAGTCATACTAAAACCCATATGGACGTACGGGATCGAATTGTGGGGATGTGCTAAACCATCTAACACTAAAATACTACAGACATACCAATCAAAAACTTTAAGAATGATAACAAATGCTCCCTGGTATGTTTCTAACCAAACCTTACATGACGACTTAAAAATACCATTTATCAGGGATGTAATAAATTCCCAGGCCAACATGTACAGAAACAGGAATATGAATCATACAAATGAACTGATTGCTACTCTCACCAGTGAACCAACCTTTGCAAGAAGGCTCAAAAGACAGTGGCCCGAAGACTTACGTACGTAACCTAAGGTGAACCGACATTGGCCGGCAGCACCTACATTGACTGTATCGACTACTAAATTTACTTAATACTCGTACGCGAAGTATCGAAAGATATTCAGAGAAGTTGTGTCTGAATCAATGTTCTTTCTTTCAATTTATTGTCTATGAAGTTCAATGGTATATTCATGGTTCTTCAACCCTTTCTAGTGATATCGCATCACTCACTGTGGAATATTATTAATGGAAATATATGTTGAAGAAAGCAGTCTTCTGGGATTTGGCACCGTGTATATGTGGTGTTAACCGACGTTTCGGAGGAACGTATCGCCTCCATCTTCAGGGTAGAGGAAAAATATAAGAAATCTGCAAGCGAAGAGACCGTGAGAACCGGTAAAAGCAGACTGGTGCTGTAGTTGCAGAACACTTTCTTTTAATTGTACATGTTTACAGTGTAACAGTTCTGATAGATTTCTTCTCGAAACGGACTTCGTGGAAATTGTGTAGGGCTCATTTCTTCTGTTTCCAACGCTCGTCTCACAGCCCAGTTCGGCATTCAGTTCGGAGTTTCGGAAGTGCGATAGAGCCACAAGAGACATCTTGTCAAAATTGCTTTCTGTGGGAAACTGTGTTTATTTCCGAGAGCTAACGAAACATTTCCTTGGATCCAGATTCAGTTGAATTTTGTTTTAAAAAAACAAATTCTCTCTTGCTGATCTTACAGTTTCCAAGTTCTCTAAGGGCTGCAGTGCGATTTCTTCCATAATACGAATACGTCATACAGAACGTACAATCACAATACACTCGCTTATATGTATTATGCTAAATTTAATGTTATTAATTACTGTACGTATAAATCTATTTAGATAATTCGTGTAAATCTTAATTTATATAAAGTTTCCTCTCAAAATTAGATTTCCCACAAAGTTCTATAGTCTCGCCGAATGTATTAAATGTTATTTATTATGTTTAATTGAATTCTTTGATCTGTATATTGGTATCTAATTGGTATAAAACGTATTCTTTTTCATGAAATTATTTAAAATATTGATATTTGTATACCTGCATATAAATTTGTAGGTAAATGCAAAATAATTATGCATTTTGAGTGATAATATTTAAATACCAGAGCAATAACTCCTGCATAATCAACAACAGTAAATCCATTCAATACACCCACTTGCAGTAATATTAACAATGACCATATTAGCATAATGAGTGCATATGTCTTCATTTCAGTACACAGGTTCAGATCCGCGACGTGAAACTGACTACTTGACATACATATCGACATAGAACCGATTTGCTAAATGTTTTCCTTGCATTCCTAGTGACGTGTAACGAATGGTGCGCACCTTGTACACACTAATTGCATCCTTCAACTTCCACCTGGAATTATGATCGGTAAAAACAAACACGCATGCACATGAAACATCGCTCCTAAACTTACATATCATGATAGAAACTGGTAGCATATTTCATATATATGCATGAACAAACAAAATGGGATCATACAGCCAATTCACGAGTCGATGGAAATTAAACGTGCAGAATTCCTAAGCTCTATTTCTCCACATTGAAGGCCGCAGGTTCTTCGGAAAATATAGTAACTTTCTGCCAAAGTACATGGGTTCGTATCTTAATGAGAGTTATTATCTTCTGAGATATAACGCCGTATAGATTGGTCAAGTTCACCGACGTTTCAGAGGAACGTACTCCCTCCATTTTCAGTGTCGAAGTAACCAGACAGCAACATTTTGATCCCGAAGATGAAGGCAGTACATTCCTCCGAAACATCAGTGGACTCCTACCGGACTACACGGTGTTACATCACAGTCACCATGCTAAGAGCCTCAGATATCACAGGATGCTGTATTTAATTTGTCCGACTCTCTGCTATGTGGACTCGATTCTCCCAATTGTGGCTTTCTTTCTCTTTCTGTCATTCATTCTGCATTAATGTATTATTTTCTTTCCTTCTTTCTTATATTTCCAGAAAATAAATAATTTTCCATTAAATTGTTTTGATTTTTAGTTTCTGTTTTACATCGTTTCGGCTTATTACAAGTACACAGGTGAAGGCCTACTTACATCAAACTTGACTAAAGTTCTCAGGACCACAAATTTTTCCGACAAGTTTTATTTTGTCTAATTCAGACCCCCTTTCGGACAGGTCTCACTATGCACCTATTATATCTGAATGTGTGCTGCCAAAATTTTTACTACTGGCTCGCATGTTTAATTGTCAGTTGCCAAATTTGATTTGCCTATTATCCAGAATGGAAAGGGAGCTTATACGAGTAATTTATTCTTTGTTTGTTTGTGTCTCATTAATGGGGTCGAGAATTCCATAAAGAAGGAAAGGTATAAATTTTTAAATAAAAACCAGGAAGACTTTTATATTGTGCAGAAGGGGCCAATACCTTTTAGTATCTAATATGCTTCCAGGGCATTCTGTCGTCTGCTTTGAATTCGTGGGTACCAATACAGCAGAACAGGTGAAACCAGATCCAGCAGACCCGTTTGAATACAAAGTTGAATTTTGTTGTTCATAGTCAAAATAAAAAGTTAATCTGTGTAGTCCAGACATTGAGAGCATCGTAATATAAGACTGAAGAATAGTCGCGAATTACAAGTGAGATAGCGTATGTAGTGAAACTATAAATAGTAGGAGGGTTGTAACCAAAACAGGAGTCCAAATGTATTTATTGCTGTTTTCTACAAATCATTGGCCTTGATCGTGTCTCGTCACCAGGACAAAATCATAACGAATAAGTTATTTGAAAATCTGACATATTTTATATATTTAGGAGCGACAATAACAAATCAAAACTTCAATCAAGACGAAATTAAGACCAGATTTGATTTGGGTAGTATTTGTAGCACTCAGTACAAATTCTTTTGTCTTCCCATACTCTGTCTAAAAATACTTGATGTTTTGATGAGCTGTGGAACTTATTCGGTCACTCTAAGTGAATAAATTAATTGAGGTTGTTTGAGTACATAGCTCTAGTCCTGCGCAAATATTTGAACCTAAGAAACAATGACTACCAGGAGGACAGAGAAAATGAACATAATAATCTACAGCTTAACGAGTGGGTAGGACCACAGTAGTAGACTTTGTATCCAGCCGAGGGAGTATAATATTAATGTAGACAGACCTTAGGTTCACAAAAAAAAAGAACGTGTTATGAGGCCAAGGATGGGGATGGTCTAGGGTTCCTGTTCGAGGATGGGTCCCTAGGATGGTACCCCTTCCCGCGTCATACTAAATACCTTTTTTTGTCTAACCCAAGAGAAAGTAACATTTATTAATTTAATACAAACACATGTGAAATCAACAACAAAACAACTGGTCCGAACACTTATAACCTACTAGCAATCACCTCTTCTCTGTTCGAGGTTAAGTGGCCAGGCTATGACAGACAGATCTCTACTTACAGAGTATGGTAACTGCGGCGGTGTACATGATGCCTGGAAATGTGGAGACCTGTGGTCAGCCTGTCTTTCGCAGAACCCTCTAGGTGCTCTAGGTGCAGCGGCTCCCCCTAGAGGATGGACCGTCTTCCTATTTCAGAGCGCTTGAACTAACTATTATGAAGTGGTCCTCACTTCCTTTGTGCAACCCTTATATACTCTGGGTTTTCCTCAGACACATTGTAACAAAGCTTACAATTGGCTGATTCCCTTTCTTATCAATTTCCCTATTTTCTAAACTAACAGGCAATTGCTTCATTCCAATTATGCGTCATAAAAGAACGACTCATCAATTTGAGACATTAATTCCAAATTCCATTTTTTGTAATTTCTATTCGGCATCTTAACAAGAGTCGCTTGCTTAATTGTGCGGAAGTGAATGTGGTCTGACTTCGGCTTTACTCCTTCTGTGTTTTCCCTCTGGCCACATCCTATTGCCTGTGGTCCGGTTACTCCGCACAGTTCTCATGTACACTTACATATGTGTCCATACAATTGAATAAAGAATTACTAATATATTATATGATCAGTACATATTTCTTAATACCCTTGTCCTTATCACATAACATCCTTACATATATATTACAGGTAAAAACGTTTCATAACAAACGAAACAGCTAATTGAAAATATTTATAATTCAAAGTGAATTTTTTCTGGGGTATATCGTGACATAATCACTACAATGAGAAGGTGAAATATCACATCGTAACTTTAACTGCGACGTCACAAAAGACCTAAAATCTAGTGTAGTCTGTCGACTTGGATGAAAAGATCGTTCCCTCATTTGTAAATATTTTCCTACTTTCTTTTATCAGAAGTCAGTTCAAAAGTTTACTGCAACCAAAAAACCATTAAATAACGACTTTCCATATTATTTTGGCAAAATGTGTAATAAAATTATGTAATTATTTTCCTTGTGCTTTTCATCTCAGATAAACCATTCAACGTCCGTTCCCCTGTAGCATGAACATAATTGGAATGTTGGCTTCCACAGTGAGCAATATATTGCTCTTATTATTACTACAGCCTTTCTGACAAGATCGAATGATTATGTCTCGCTAAAGAAACATACTAATGGTCACTGGTAATACGTACAATAAGAAATTCTTTCAGATAACATTTCTAGTCTGTTGTGAAGTGTTAATTATTGACAGCACTTACTTAGCTCCTGCTGTAATAACACGCTAACAGGATGTGCGTGCCACAGATGTTAGTTTTATAGCATCATGGCAGACAGGTCAAGGAAGCCGATTAAAACCCTCATAGCAGCTGCTTTGCAAACTGTGAAACGGGTCTGAGGAAAATTGGCGAAATGAAATTTGAATGTAATTACTCGAAAGTATTGTTTCCAGTCATATGACCACTATGCGACTACTGTGTCGCTTGTATTTGTAACAATTTCTTGAACAGCGGCACGCGGTAGCGCAGTTGGTTGAGGCACCATGTTACAAGCCGGAAGGTCGCGGGTTCGAGTCTCGACGAGGTGGAGCTTTTCAATTTATTAATCATTTTAGCCGCACTATGGCCCTGGGGTCGACTCAGACTATAGCAGAAATGAGTACCAGGAATTATTTTGGGGGGTAAAAGCGGCCAGCGCGTAAGGCTGACAACCTTATCGCCATCTTTGAGCCGATTTTCTAGAAAAGGTGGCAGCCTCGACGTCTCAAACCCTATGGGCCTTCACGGCCTGGTGCAGGGATAGCTTTACCTTTTTTTCCTTGAATAGCGATTATTGTTAAAGAAACTGATACTACATTTATGTAACTGGTAATGAGCAAGATGACACTGTCACGTGACTGAATCTCCATGCACTATGATGCGGACAGTTAGCTTCCAATTCTGATCACTTTACTGCCCGGAACAGAAGGTTTGGAGTCAAATGGGCAAGAGGGTGGGTGAATTCCAAACCGGTCCAAACTGATCAAAACGAAATCCCTACTCCTGAGGGCGAATCGAACACCCATCTCCAGCACCTCGCCAGTCACTTTCTGACTGTGCTGCTTCGGTTCATATTATTAAGAACACATGAAAGGAACAGAACACTTTCGCACAATGCCTAATATTGTCAATGAAAATTTCGGAAATAAAGTGGGCCTACTTTCCAATTTTGACGTAATTATCTGCAATGTATTTTAAGATCTGAAGTTTAACTATGACTAAAAATGGCAAAATCTTCCTGAACCACCAGCCATGTCAGTTCGAAGCATATTTAACGTCCCCTTTTCAATGGAGATAGAAGTCATAAAAATATTTGACTTCTGCTCAGAATCGACTTGACTGGTCACCCAAGATTTGTAAATATGCCTAAATCGTAACTAGTTAATATTTTACCAATTTTTAAGGAATGTGAAAATGCACTACCACATGCACAACAGCCCGATATTAATCCTACCCTGAGAGAGCTGAACAAAGTCCACATCCTTAAAACTACATCTTAAAATCCATTTTAATATTATCCTCATATCACTCATAGGTCTGCCAAGTTGCATCGTCCTTTAAGATTTACTGACATCAATTTTTCACGAATTACGCAACCTCACCTATTTGCTACAAGTTTCTCCCATCTCCTCCTCTTTTATTTGATCATCCTAATAATATTTCGAGAAGAGTATAAAATATGAAGATCCTCGTTATGTAATTTCCTACATTCATCTGTTGCATCTTTTCTCCAGATATTCTCTTCAGTTCTTTATTCTGAAAACCTGCTGAAACGATGTTCTTCCCTTATGGCGAGAAACCAAATTTTACTCCCATATGAAACAAGCGAAATTATGAGTTTGAGATAGAAGCCAGAGGAGTTACGGGCTCTGAACTAAAGGGTAGAAATTATTACTTTAATTTAATTTAATTTTCTCTCAACTGCATCGTGAACGGAATTTTGGTTTGTTACTGTCACGCCCAAATACACGAACTTCGGTACATTTTCGAATTACCTATCAAGGTATTATCATTTTGTCTTGAATTCTGCCAACGGGACATGAACACAAATAATAAACTTAGACCCAATTGGCAGACCCCAAATCCTACTTTGCGAAATTTTGTAATATTCACGATTTCTGATCGACATAGCGCAATATGGCCAAAATAACGCAAACATATGAGAAACTTACTTTTTCGGTTCCAAAGTCTGCTTTGGATCATTTTCCCTGGTACAATTGTTCCTAATGTTACGCCACTAACGGAATATCAGGGAAGTAGTTGGCACTTTTAAATGTGATATTGTTTTAAAATATCCATTACAGCTAATTAACTTTTTTTTTGGCATATTTGTGGCTATTTCTTGTGCGAACAGTATAGTTTAAAACGTTGTTTAAATGGATGGTAACTGATGATCTAAAACGAAACTGATGAATCTTTCCAGTAGAATTATGAATTATTCAGTACTGGGCGTATACGTACTCGTACGTATTCGTACAGTATAATGTAATTGTGTACATCTATATTGAACCAAATATTCTTCATTCACTAAGAGACCTCTTATTAAATAACCCGAGCTTCAGGACTTACATATCAATTGTACAAGTATACATGTCCTTGCTACTGAAAATCCAGAATGGATAATTATTGTGCGTAGAATGGAATAAAATGTTTGTGTGACGGCGGTATAATAAAAGTGTTATAGTGTAAATATTATTCAACAAACGTGATGAAGTGTATATTGAGACTCCAGAAAACAATAATCTTCATAACCACCGCCGTCAGAACCTCAAATCTCACGAAGTATGTGAAAAATAGAATATTTATATTTATAAGCAGAAATCGTTAGGTCCATTTCTAAATATTCTTTCTTTCGCATCCCTCGCATTGAACATCATGATCTCATTCAATTTCAGTTTTTCAGCGATCTTACAAACTCGTGTTAAATTTTTCTTTTGAAATCAATACAAACGAGATCGGCCTATATTCAGAGAATCAAAAACGACTGGTTAACCCACAAAACAAAACCACGATGAAGATTACGCTTTGAAATTATACAAATTATGTACATAAAATTGTTATTTATGTTATTTACCTTTAATTTTACAGGGTGTGCGTGTTACACGCAATGTGTTACTAAAATAAGGTACAATGCATGTCATAATTTCCTAGCGTCACGAGACGAAATGTCACCCGTACATGATACGAGGCTGATTTAAGGTCGCAAGAAAAGAGATGTATCTGGCTAATAACTGCGTTATCTGCTTCTAATATTATTGATGGTAATGAGTCAAAGAAAATTGTACAACACATACAAAAAGAAACTTCTAGCCAATGACAGATTGAACTAACATATAAAATAATTAATGTGCGACCAATTAATCAACTTGAGGGAATTAACATAGAATCTGCAGCTCATGGATAATGAGATGGTCACACTAATCACTGCGTCCCATCCATCACAACCACTGTGCGCTGCGCTGCACTGCGTTGACATATTCCATGGCACTATCCTGGCATACCAATTAAATATGAGGCTTGGTGGGCCCTGAATTCTTCTAGACACAATGGTAACAAGAGAAATTCCTTCCCCTACTGAAAAATGAACCCCATTCAACCAGTACTAAATTTTGTCATTGAAACATATGCTCATTTTATGCATTTTGTGCAAATAATGCATAAAACTGGAACATTCTTCTCTTGGCATGAGATATCTTCTAGATATGCAGAACAACGAATCAGCCAATGATATTGTTATATCAATTTCAAAAAGTAATAAACTTTGTCTAATGGTTGGATCTATACTTCCATTCCTCCATACACCTGCATGGCACAGTGCTTACCTAATGGTTTTCACACTGTGGGTATCTTTTTCTGATGACAGAAACAGAACCATCCTAAGATATCACACATTTTTTTTACTCAGACAATGAACAGCCACTTTAAGGATAATTCTCCCACAAATGATATCTGAAATGAGAGCCAGTTGCTCAAACTTCTGAGACCGACTGTTCAGGACTTTCCTTCACCACCTGCCACATTCCTACATTGGTTTATGGAATTAAGGATGAAAACATAATAAGCAAACAACCAAGGAAGTGTCTGAGGAGTTCCGCACTTAGCTCAAGCGGTTAGTCGCTGGCTTCCCACCATGGCGGCCCGGGTTTGACCCCGAGTCTGGTCAAGTAGGATTTGTGGTGGACAAAGTGGCGCTGGGGCAAGGTTTTCTCAGAGTACTTCAGTTTCCCCTGCCAATCTTCATTCCACCAAATGCTCCACAATCACCCTCACCTATCATCTGGGGCTGGTACCATAGGCCAGAAGTGGCCGCAGAACAAGGGACTTAGTCCCACCCCACTAGCAATAAAAAAGAAGTGTCTGAGGAAATCCTTTCTTCAAATTACTGGGCTCTTGGACTTTGTCCATCATCCAAAATTCTAAAACTAGAAAACACAAGATTTCAGAAAGTCATGTTTCCATCCTCTGGTGAGACACCTCACTGAATGAGATAAGTCATTTCTAAGAAAACCAACAATGTAGGTGTCTCCCCCAATTGTATTGAGGTTAGCTCTTTCTAAAGGGCCCAATAGGTTATGTATCTACCACTCACCTGAGACTGGAAACAAATCCAGTTTCTCTAGTTTTTAGAATATAAAATGTAAGAGTTCAATAAATCAAATTACCAGTCCAAAACCCAATATATTGTCAGTCACATGACAACACATTAATTTGTCAAGAGCTTTTGCGTCTCACACACATAACTCCACCTAAGGATGGTCTGGTGTTGATGGGTTCTTCCTCACAACCTGACAGAAGCTAAAAACAAACAGAAGTTAAATGATGGTTTGAGTGCTAACACTGTCAAGGGGAACACAACACGAACCTACCAATCAGGTCCTGAAACAAAATACTGATCAGCCATTTTGACTTTCACTGATGGCTTCTTTCTTTCCTGTAAACATTCATATGGCTACCATTATTTTTGCAACCCAGAGTATTGTTAGCACACAACAGAATACAATTACCTTCCTGACCTAAGTGCTGAAAGCAACCCAGAACTACTCTGTTTCTCCGTGACAAAAATTCATCACAATAACAAACACCCATAGTCCTTTCCTACAGAACGCTCTACACCAGCTAATAATCATCGAGTCTGCTGTTCAGACATCTAATTCTTTTAAAAATGTAGGATTGCTTTTAATGGGGCCACGCAGTAGCATAGTTGGTTGAGGCACTATGCTACAAGTTGGAAGGTCATGATATCGAATCCTGATGAGGTGGATTTTTTCAATTTGCCTAATCCTTCCAGCTGCACTATGGCCCTGGGGTTGACTCAGCCTCCAACAGAAATGAGTATCAGGAATATTCCTGGGGGGTAAAGGGCAGTCAGCACGTAAGGCTGATAACCTCACCACCATCTGTGAGCCAATTGTCTAGAAAATGTGGGAGCCTCAACACCTCACAACCCTACGGGCCTCCAGGGCCTGTTACAGGGATACCTTTACTTTACTTACTTTATGATTGCTTTCAATATCTGAAGATATTCTGTATATATACAAACAACAGCACCATAGAATGACATGAATGCACAGAAAAAATGTTTCAATAAAGTTTTCATTGTTCAACTATTAAAGCCTGTAAACATTTATAGTTGTGTAAGATTTGAGGGTTTCACAGCAGTGACTATGAAGAAAGCAGTCTTCTTGGATGTCCCAGAAGACTGCTTTCTTCACATTTACGGTTACCTATATATCACTATGCACAGTTATTTCTGCACATGCTTAATGTGTACTGAATTCCCTTCAAGATATTCTGTTGACACTTGTTTTTCAAAATGGCATGTGATTTCAATCAGCTGATTTGGACAAGGCCATGAAGCTATGGGAAAGATACTGAAGATCAAGAACACTCTCTCATTTATCAGCATTAAAACTTTCATAATTATAAGTGCAGGCAATAAGTTACAGTATATAACAGGATAGTGAATTGCACACTGTCATAAAAATATCCTTACAGAAAAAGGGTTAAGAATCTGTGCATCAGGCTGTTAGTGCTGAGCTGCCACGAAATATGCTGTTGAATGGGTTGCTAAAGACATTGTGTTATAACCCCCATAAAGCTGGTCACAAGTTATGTTCTCTGGAGCCCAATCATTCGTTACCATGTTTATAAAAAGCCAACTACTGAACTTCATCCTGAACTAGATAAGTCCAATTCACTTTCACACATACAGTAAAACTTGGTTATAGCAACATCGGTTTCTGCGACACCTTGTCTATTGCGTCAAATATTCAATGGTACGAACTAATTCCTCATAAAGCAACTGTTTTTATACCTTGCTTAGTACGACATGCACAAATGCATCAACCTCGTATGTAACGTCATTTTCATTCCTGAATTTCTCTGATATGGACATTGAACGTAATTTAGAAAGTGTGTATTGGGCAAGTAACAGGAAACAGATGAAGATAACTGATTACTGTACTCGTATCTAGGTACAGTAAGGCACAACAATTGATGTAATCTACTGTAATTTGGTGAGTAGGCCTACCTTTAATATACAGTATTAGTGCGGTGTGTATTGTCAGTGAAAAGCGCTGTAATATATCTTTGATATTACACATTTGGGCAATTCCACGTTAATGTTACGTTAGTCTGTACTTAACTACGTATTTCACTAAAAAATGCAACATTTTTAACTCGGTTTTTGGTAGATTTTTACGTGACTAACATAAGGCTACTGTGGAAGTGCCCATTTCGGTTACAACGACACTATTTTTAGGTCCCTTTGATGACGTTATAACCAAGTTCTACTGTATTTTCTTTTATTTACTTGGTAGTCTCTTTACCACAAGTTATATAACAGTCATGATCAATTAAAAGCATGGGAATATCTACCGGCTTTGAATCCATGTGAAGAAAAGCAACCTCATTTCTATTCAAAACATCAGAGCCTCCTTTGAAACTACTGAGACTGCTTTGCCCATTTGGTATTCTAGTTCGATCCAGGCTGTTGCCTGATTATCTCTTCTATCCGGTTCATTGTCTGCAGTGTCATGCCAGATTGTGTTACACTTTCAATATAGTCAGGTGAACATCAGCACCACACCTTTCTTTTCTGCATCCTGTTTTGTTATGGAAGTAAGTGATATGGTGGTTGTCCACACAACAATTCTATTAATTTTTATTAACTTTATTAATAACCCACTGGGTAGACAGTCATCTTATACCTTGTTCAGTATCACAGTTCATCCTTTATCTCCTTGACACTCAACAGATGTCCTGAAGCCATTTCACAGCACTGGCAAACCTTACAAAACTTTCAGGCCATGATAAGAGAGAATGAATATCTATCACATTACACAGAGATTTGAATGAACTACAAGCCACTCCATCAAGGTCGTATTACTTTATCTGTCCCTTCTTCATGCTTCATCTTTACTAAAACAACTACGTTCAGCACACTCATGTTTTTTATTCGCCCCAATATCGTAAATTACTTGTAACTGGGACTAAGCGGCCTCCGTAGTCTAGGGGTAACGTTCCCACCTCATGACTCAAGGTACGCGGGTTCAAACCCGGCAGAGGTCGTGGAATTTTTAAGGGGGGAAAAATTCAGGGAACAAGTCCTCCGGGAGGGACTTTAAGCCATGGGTCCCATGTCATAGATTTATGGCACGTAAAAGATCCTCATGTCTCTAGATCTCTGAGCAAAATTAGACAAAAATTTCCTGCCCAAGTAGTTTCCAATGCCTCTGGTAGATGGGGGAAGTATCAGGTACCAACGGTCGACCTCGTTGGCTGAATGCGGCTGATAGCACGCACCAGTACCAGTAGGGTATGGCGACCGGCAGAATATCAAAGGGGGACGTACAATAGACTATTAGTCGCTATGCATGGGGAAACCCAACCCCTCTAATAATAATAATAATAATAATAACTGGGACTAAGTTTAAAAACCACAGGAAGTAAGAGAGGTGTCATGACTCAAAATTACTCCACTTCACCAGAACTGACTGATATATCAGGACAATGTGCAAAATATTTATATTTCACTACAGCCATTCTATCAAGATCTTTGATTACAGTCAGTGAAACAAATTCTGCTCCTTCTCTTTGGTACAATTTCATCATTTATCAAAAGAACTGCATAAATAACATGAAGTACTTTATATTTTAGCATTCCAACACACGGACCATAGGACTGAAGCTAAACATCTGCCTCTCCAAATAAACTCGCTCACATATGTCAAATTCCTCCAGTAACTGAAAACTCTTACTTAATTCAAAGCAAACTCTTAAAATCTCAGCATAAGAAAACTTAGAAAACAAGCACCGACTTGTGAATAAAAGAATTTCCTCTTTTCCAAATGATTTTCAACTATAAACATAATGTTACGAAGAGTTACATTTCACTTACTGACTTAACACCACGGAGTCCTTAAAAAGTTAACAGCTTCTTATATATTGAAGACATTTCTTGCCTTTTATGAAACCAAAAGATTAATCAGTATGTTCAAAAGAATTTATCAAGGGACCCTGCCCTAAGCAACATTTCATTTGTACTGAACATAATGTGCATACTTATGACATTACATATAAAACTGCATGTTTATTTCAAGCCAATGATTTCTATGCTTTTTATTTATTACATATTCTTTGCATGATGTGCATGAAATAAACACATACAGGGCTGACCATGCACCTGTTTCAACTCAAGAACCATGAACAGATTTTTATGAAATCTCATATAGACATTAAGTCACTGAAGGCTATCCTAAAATATTTTTAATTACCTGCATCAGCAATACCTACACAATGGACACATAAACTCATTATGTGTGAGTTACACTTACTGTATGATCCCAAAATTATGGTAACAGATCTAAAATATTCAACTTCTGTGAAGTTCCTTTTTTGGGTGTGTAAAATGTAAGAAAACAAAGTGGTGACTGCATGAAATCCACATCTGACTTTTGGTTTGATAATCGCAACTAATGAACCATTCAAATTCAGCATGTGAAGAAATCTGTCACCACCACCATAAACCAGTATCAAAGAATCAAAGCATGCAATGGAAAAACCTGCTGTAACCAATGAGAAAAAATATTCATCGCTCAGACATCAGCTGACAAGCTGATGCTCAAAATTCGGCCACCAGGAACCCAAAATAATGGACCGAGAACTGGTGTTTCAATCAATGCCACATGATGTATTGAAAATCTAGAACACCTTTATTCTGTGATTAATACCCATGCACACCTCCAAATGGCCAGCACCACCAACCATGCCATACTACACCGAAAGCACAGTGATAGGCATCAGAACACCATACAGTCTGTCCCCCTGCAACACTCACATTTTTTTGTGCCTGAAGAATGCATCACTCAAGGAATGTCAATTTATGCTGCAAGTCTAACTGTAGCGGATTTGGTGCAACTGGTTTTGCCAGATGTTACAGATATTTAAAAGAGGGGCAACCACTATGTGGTCATGCAATGAGATACAGGTCAGTATGCACAGTGATTTGTCTGGGACACACAGATCTGGTAATGCCTGACTGAAGCATCGCTATATAATTTAAAATCAAGTCTCAATTGTTCAGCAATATGGACAACAATACAATACAAAACTTTTAACATGTGTCTGTCAATCACAACTTCTGTATCATGAAACAAAAAATGACGAATCCTCAATAAATCCTATTAGGTTTCGGAAATATATAAATCAATGCATTCTCCTCCTTCCAAATCAAGATCCACTGGGGTTTCATTTGGATTTAAGGACTCTCCATCAAATGAGAACTTCAACTTTTCTACTGGTACATCCAAGCGTTCTGCACATTTCAACATCAACACTCGCATTTTCTGGGTCTTTTTGATCTGTATTAATATTGGTTCCTTGTGTCCCTTACGCTGAACTTTCAGTTCCATTTCATCCACATTCAATGAGGGTTTCACTTGATTTGAGGCATTCTTCACATCTCCACATGTCACCACACCACCCTCTGGAAATCACACATTGTAATCAGATGAGGTAAGCCACATGTGCAAAAATTCCATTTACTTTGTAATGAATGTTGATAACCAAATTAAGGTGTGACATACAACATGGTGCTAATACCTAATATCATTAATTTTAAAAGGTCTATTTTTTTATTTGTATGGTAATTGTGCATATTAAGCAAATGTTTAATAAATCACATGAAGTGTTCATGGAAGATCACATGGAAGCAAAAGGTACTTGTGAATTTAGGTTTACTTGAATCTTTTGAACTGTAATACAAAGTTTAGATTAATGGTTATCATGTATGACATAAAGACTAACAACTACATGGCATTGAGGAATACAACACATCTAAGGTCAATGTCTGACAATGGAAGGAACACAACGGAAAATTATCAGCAGATAGTATCCCTGTTATCCCTGTTTTATTTAAGCAACGTGCCATATGAGGGAGTGGCACTAGGTCAGTAGTCAGCTTCACACTCTGGTTACTTTACTCCTACAAAAAAAAGCATAGGTACTTGTTATGTAGGAGGCTGGGTGGGGTCTAGAGCCAGTCCATATGCTGTAGAGAAGAACCTATGCCCCTGCCAGGAATCAAACCAGTTCCTTGCATGTCCAACCCATAGCGTAGACACAATAGAAATGAAGCTCACCCCAGCTCTATCAGGTAGTAGTTCCCTGAGAGAAAATCCTGTCAACCTAATATAGCCATCTGCATAGAGGTAGAAAAACATTAAGTCTATTATGCAAAATTCTAACTCAAACATTTTATTTGAATAAAACTATTTCTTCTCAAAATTTTCCTCTCTGAAACAGGCTCACCTGACATAGTCAGTTATACAGAATTGCAGCTTTGAATTCTGGCTTTGTTAACTGGTGCTTGTGCAGTTACTTGTAAAAGGTTCACACCCATAAGGTAGGTCTTTTTTCTCTTCATACAAGCCTAGCCTTGAGAAAGACTTGAAACTTGTGGGGAAGATATAGCATCCCCATTGCATACAGAACCAGGAACAAAGATATTCAGGTGGTGTAATTTCATGTAATGTGAAAGTTACTTCCACAAATAAAATGCATTTACATCTCTCCGACAGTGTTATGTTCCACAACTTTCTCCTCCTTCCATGGTTAGACTGGCCACACAGCTAACCCTACTGAAGTAAATGTGACCAGAAGCAGATCTGTTTGATCAGACATGCCTGATTTTGGCTGGGCATAAAGTCACTGCGTGTTAGTACATGACCTTTCAGTATAACATGTTTTCAAAAATCTATAGTATCTTTTACATGTTTGCTTGTAATAAGTGTATACAATTAATACAGAAAATTATTCTATGTCCAGACATACGTAGTGTGTTCAAAAAGTATCGAACCTTTGGTCAGAAGAAATACTTTTATTGATTTGGAGGTACAAAACCCTAATCCCCTTCAAAGTAGTCTCCTTGGTAATGCACACACTTCTCCCAGCACTTCCGCCATTGTTGGAAACGCTTCTGAAACGCGTCTTTTGGAATGGTGATCAGTCGGGCCGTCACATTCCGCATGATGTCTTCTCTTGACTCAAATCGGGTTCCTTTCAGCAGCATTTTCAGCTTCCGAAATAGCCAAAAGTCACACGGAGCCATGTTGGGGGAGTAGGGAGCCTGACGAACCACAGGGATATTGTGTTTGGCGACAAAGTCTGAATCAGATGCACAGTTTTGGTACAAATTTCGCGGACACTCTCCTCATGCCCAAATTCTCGGTCAAAATTGAATGTACCAATCCAATGCTTACCCCTATCTCGTTTGCAAGTTCTCGGACTGTGATACGATGGTCCTTCATGACCAAAGTCCGCACTTGCTCAATGACATTCTCATTTCGGTTTGTTGAGGATCTGCCTGATCGCGGTTTGCTGTCCACTGATGTGCGGCCATCTTTGAAGCGGTTGTACCACTCCTTTATCTGTGAGTTGCTCATGGCATCGTCCCCGAAAGCCTGCTGAATCTTGTGAATGGTTTCCACTTGCGTATTGCCAAACTTTTGGCAAAATTTAATGCAATATCGCTGCTCATGTTGTTCCATCATTTTACACCTTACTGGAATCCGACGAGCGCTCACTACACGTCCTCACTCATAGGCCGACTGCCAGTGACTGATGCTTTCTGCGGGCAGGAAAAAATTCACGACTGCGCATGAATGTCCCCTCCACATCTCCACCGAAGGGAGCCTCCTGTGCTTCATTGGTTTAAGAAGGCTCGATACTTTTTGAACACACCATGTATTTCTTAATGGTGTGTTGTCTTGAGTGCAAAGGTATCATCCAGTCAGATAAATAGGTCATATTTGTCTTTACCTAAAACACTTGCAACAGTTAGCTTCAATGAATCTGGAGAGTCATTTGGATGAACTTGAGCATCATTGAGAGTCAGCAATATCTGACTATGAGGTACATTCTCCAGTTTTGAATAGTGGTCAAACAGTGATGCTATCTTCTGGAACTGCAAACAGAAATGTTATTACATTTGCAATTCATGCTCAACAATTCTTTACACAAGATAAGCTTAACACATGAAACAGATATGCTAGTAAATTAAATATCCTTACCCTTCTGATGACAAATTTATCAAATCTTTCAAACTTCCACCAGACTTTGACTGACAATTCATAGTTGTCATCTTCTTCAAATGCAGACACATTCACTTCCGTTTCTGAATCACTACTGAGTGAAATATGGTCATCCTAAGATAGAAATGAAACCACAACTAAAAACAGACCTTCTGCAGCAAGAACTTCTATATTATCATAATAATAGACTGTCTCTAAAATAAAGAGACAATTCTATCTCAGTAAATACAGATTTGCATATTTCTTCAAGTATACTGGAACTCTTACAATATTGCATAATGAGTTATCAAGTCATTTCACTGTTCATATTTAATCCAAAAAAAGAAAGATACAAATCTGAAAATTAAAACAAAAATATGAAACAAAGTACACAGAAATAATACATGTATGACAAAATGATAAAAATAACCATTATAACACAACAAGATATACCAAAATAGGATGTGTGGTACAAAGAGAATGATAGGAAAAAAAACACAGACATACTACAAGCTGCATTATACACTATGACATCAAAAATAAAGGCAAGTCTAACAAAGAATGTTGCCTAGAGCAGCGATTTTCAACTGCTGTGCCACAGCACATTGGTGTGACATGAAGGATCCATAGGTGTGCTGCAAGAGTTCGGGAGGTTGAAAAGAAGCAATAAAAATTGGGGAATAAAAAATCGTTGAAATCTATGATCAACTTTATTTTTAAAAATAACATAATGATTACAATTGTAGCTACTGGACTTTTTAAAAACAATCTGAAACACAATCAGATTACTCATTTTTAAATTATAAAATCTCTCCTTAAAAACTAATGGTGTTCCTTGACAATTTTAATGCCTTGTTCAGTGTGCTGTGACTTGAAGAAGGCTGAAAAACTCTAACCTAGAGGAAAGTTTTGAAAGAGGAAAGATAAGAAAATGGAAAATCTGCTTTATTGGCAAAAGTGCCACATGAAATTATGAAGTTTTAACAAAAAGTGTGGTCAATTTTTTCCATGGATATACAAAAGCAAAGTGAAAAGTTATTGGATATAATAACTTACAAAAATAAACAGAGAGAAAGATATTTAAATTATCATGAATATATGACAATGCACAAGAACTGTTATTAATACAGGTACATTTTACAAGATACAAATAAAACCTATTTGTATAAACAAACAAGAATGAGGTCAAACACAGAATGTATGTTGGATACAAATCTACCTCTCCTGTCTGCATGGACTGCACCTGAAAGAAGATTCATGGCATTAAATTCATAGGAAGATTGAATGCAGGAGGTCATTATCAGCTGCAGATATTGGTATTGCCAGAGAGAAGTACACATTACACAGAATGAGGACAGAGAGTGATAACCTGACATGGGGAGTGAAGGTTATCCTGTGTACAGTAGATGCAATCCTTTATTAAGACAGCTGTCCCCCCACGGGCCCTGTCACCATCAAGATGGTCATATCAGTGGGCCGTAAACCAACACAAATTTTAGTACATGGGAGGGACAGAGTTGTCTCTTGAAACAGATAACAGCTGAGTCAGAGAAATTAATTTAGGTCTGTAAGTTAGAAGAAGAAAAATCTTCACCAGTCACACTAGAGGGAACTCTTTTAACTTTGCATGATAGGGTACCATGTTTGAAAACCATTAACCCTTGAGCGTGGGGATTTAAAAATCGCTTTCGTGGTGCCTCCGGCGGTATTACTTTTTAGTTGGCCATTTAAATTTTGTGTCTAAATTATATTAATTATCATAGCTTTTGAACTATATGAGATATAATTATGAATTTTTCACTGAAATAATCTTAAAAGATGGTGTTATAATCTTACCTGATAATATGGCCGCCCTTTATCTCAACGATGGAAGCAAGTTGATTAGAAGTGGAGTTGTGTGTGGTATTTCTTAAAACATTCATCAAAACACATCGCTGCTTCACAATCACTACACCAATAAACAGTATCCTTCCTTTTGCCTTGTCTTGAGCACACGACACATCTTCTTTGTGGCTTTGCCTTCTTTCCTGTGGCTGGAATCTTCTCCACAAAATGCCGTTCTGTGAGTCTTTTAG